ATACGCGTATACAAATTCTACGCTATGTCAATTATTATTATCATTATCATTATTTGTTTGTTAAAAAAAAAACTTTCTTTTTGTGAAAATGTAAACTTTGAACCGGAAACTTGCTTACGGTATTAGCAACGCAAATTGAACACTCTTTCTTCATTTAGTTAGGGTCTCTTTTCTATTCGTTCCGTCTAAATTTACGTCTTGTATAGTTGTATATATTATATAATACTCTGAGCAAAAATAAGCAAATGACAATAGCGAAAAGAAAAACGCTATCTTATTTTCACAAAGGATTTAGAATCTACAACACAAGCTATTCGTATCACATCCATATTGCTTTCATAGTTGAGTTGTTGGCATTGTCACATTGATGGTTTTTATAATATACAATGTATTGGAAGACAATTTGTACGTTTTTACTGATTGTCAGATTGGATCATTATTTATTTTATACTTTGAAATTAGTTTGAATATGAGATGCATTATTGTTTATAAAACTGTTAATATAATAGGTAATACCATATAAAGAGAAACCACCGTAAAGTATGCATGCCTTATACTTTATAGACTTTATAGACGGATAAGTAGATGTAACGATGGCTTGGAAAAGATAACAAAACATACATTTTTCCTAAAAATAAATCTTTAATGATTAAAAAAAAAGAAAATACATATTTTAATTTAGCCACATATAGGTGCATTTGTTTATACAACTGCAAGCAATATAGAATTAGGAATAGGTACCGCAAAGAGAAGCCAAAAATTATATACTGCTTATAATTTATATAGCCGGCTAGTGGTTAGGTGTGTATAATACTATAATGGCTTGGAAAATGTAAAAAAACATGATTTTTACTTCGAATAAATATTTAAAAATTAAAAAAAAATGTATTTTAAAGTGGCTCTATTATAATCCAGTACAGTCCAGAGTACTATACGCGAGCGATGCACATCGATTACATCGATGACGAGACGATAACTGCAGACCTGCAGAGTACCACCAGCTATAACCAAGTTCGAGGGGTGATAACATTTTCACGCACCCGGGCGGGGCAATAACGACAAACCTGCAGTAGCATTTTTTTTTCGATTTTCTCTCTCGTTCCCTTTTTCTAATATCGTATTTTCTATTATTGTCGTTATTGATCGTAGATAATGTAGGTAATACAGCCAATACCAATAGGTATATAATATAGTAAAAAGAACTATATACGCTTACCTATAACTATATAACTGTCGCGATAAGCAGACATTAGAGGACGCGGAAATGAAAATAAAATATCCAACTTAAGTACCAATTTTTATCGTCGGCGGACATACAGCCGCGAATGGAAGTAAATCTAACTGTGTACAGTATGCCTACCCTTTTGTATGGCCTACTGCGTCGGATTGTTTTCACATTTCATACATCTCGTCTTCCCTGCCCCGCAGCCGTCGTGTCTAATAAGTGCCTAAAGTTATATAGCTACACCATTGTGTTGGAGCGATATCAGTGCCCGGGAAATTTGGCAAGATTATATTTTAGCCTAAATGGCTTCCCTGTTGATAGGTCATAGGTAGGTATATATAATAATATCGTGTGTCATAGAATATCCAGGCATAAACACGTGCGTCCGCTACATATCGTTCATATTCACTTCTCCGCAGCAGTAATATTATAACGCCCCTCTCTCCATCGGAAAGGAATGACACGGTGCTCGAATAACTCAACTCGGATATAAATGTCGTCGTCGTAGTGTGGATTATGAGGGGCAAGTCTAGTATAGTCGCACGATTTTTCCCATTACCCGCGCCAAAACCCCGTCGGTATAGATACCAAGGTATTTTTCTCCGAGATATAACACTGAGAATACAAAATCCTCTATACCCCATACGCCAAGCCACCCCCGGCCACTCTCCGTCAACAAAACCACAGGGTATTATAACAAATAGGGTATGATTTCGAATAAGTCCCACGTGCGTATATGTGCATGTGTGCGCCGGTTGTCTGCAACTGATTCGGGATAAAAAATATATATTATATATCAACGAATAATTTTTTTCTTCTTATATATAAATATCATTTTTTTTTTCTTTCGCTTTCCACTTTCGCCTATCTATACATAAATACTACACCTCCACCACCATATGTCTTCAATATATAGGTATAGGTGTACATAGGTACCCTATATAGCGTGCGTAATCGCCCGAGCAAACACATGAGGGTCTCCGCATGTGTGAGAAGAGCTTCGCGACATCTGCGAGTCCACGGTCTGATGACGGATATATGGAATACAACATTCACCCCCCCCCCTCCGACCACATCCCTTAAGAATACGGCAGACTTTGCAGATGAATTTTATACATATTACAGCCTCGTATGTAGAGAACTGGGGTGGAATCAGAGGTGATAGTGTTTTCGTTGCTCGGTCATTGCACGATTCGTACACGATATTATACTATATTGCGGCACGAGTAAAAAAGAATAAGAAAAACACGAAAGATAAGCCGATACGATAGTGAAGCAACAGCAGTACCTATATTGTATACGCTGCGAAGGTGTTGACCGGAAAACGAGTAAAATAATATTATATTCCCATATTTGACGACGAAAGAAGAAACGATGACACATGCCATATACTATATTATGTTACAGGTATATATACCCCGTAATATACAAATAAATGCTCGTACAGTTGAGTTTTCGGAATTTCAGTTGACCAAATAAATCATGGTGCACAAACTAAAGCAAGGTATCTAGGTATCTAAGTGAATATCGGTATAGACATGTTATATTATATACAATATCTACACGACGTCATTTGCAGTTGGTCGAGTGAAAGTATGAAATACGATGAAAGTATCTCGTTTTGGTCTAATTTACGACATTTTCCTGTGAAGTAATTTCAATTGTATTCGTTTTTATAACGCCGTAACGCTAACCTCGCTCGCTGTCAAATGATTCAAAATATACTTCATAATAAACACAAATTTGATTTCAAAATTATTATGGGAGTAAAACTCTAGTCAGTACTTTGGAACGTGTATAGGTGGATTACTGTGCAAAAACAGCAGTGTGGAATCCCCTAAAAGTTGAAAATTGTAAAAAAATGAAAAAAAACTTCTTATTCCGATACAATAATATATGAAACACTATAACATGTATACTGTAATACTGTATATATAATAGAACAAGCTCGCATGGCTAACTTGAGAGAACAATGCAATGTGCATCGAAAGCCCAGCAGTAATTATGAGATTTAATTTCAAAATCATTTCGAGCGAAGCGAAATACGCAACTATACTTATACAGGCCCTAGTTACTTGTGGCCCTAATCAGAAGTGTGATTAGTAACTTTTTCGGTGGTGATTCAATATTTTTACTAGTACAAATTTGAAATGCATTTATTTGACTAGGTAATACTTTTGGGATTTTGGAGTATAGTATTACGATATTACAATATTCATACAATATACTCATTCAATAATATAGTATTAAAATAATAATAATAATTGATGTAAATAATTAAAACAAAAATACAAATTCTTGGTTTCCTAAGTTCCTTCTAATTAATTACTTAAGCTGTTAGTTATCTCAAAATATATTTATATTACCTATGTAAACCAAGTAGGTATACAATTATATTAAGTTTATTTATTAGACAAAAAATAGTACAAATTATTAAACTTACGTGGCAACATTGTATTTTAAATATTTTGATATAGTTCACTGTGTACATTTAACTAGATCGAAATGAACAGAGTTTAATTATTTTACGTGGCTACAGAGAACTTTATCATAGAATTTAATTACTATTATAATTTGCTTAGAAATAAATTTTACCTCTTACGACACACGGCGTAGCAGTGAATCTGGCTTGATTCTGAGGTCATAGTGACGTACCGACCCAGTGGCCTAGACGCCTAGTAAAGGGTGAGATTAGAGGTGTATAGATGCTAGAGGAGTGGTCGATCTTCCAAAGTGTGGGTGGGTGGGTATTAATATATAACAACTACGTACATACTAAACTTATAATATTATAATAAAATGCGTTATCATTACTTGCAGTTGTTCGCCGGTCAGTCACACGACCAATGAGAAAATTAAAGAATTTAAAAATTGAAATCACAAAGTATAGTGGTTGGAAAAATCCTTAGAACAAAATTAACAGAAAATTGTTTTGAAATCAGTTACATATATAGCACAATAGGACAATGAGCACAGTTATTTTTGATTAAATATAAATTAATTCACGCCTAAATGCCTTCACTGGTTGGTTCTTCCCTCAAGGTACTCAAGCTGCTACATACATTGTAATTAAAACATCCTTTAATGATTATTGTATTTTTTTTTATGTGCAGATTATATAAACACTAGATTAAAAATAAAAAATAAATATAAATGAAATATGGATAGTCGACAACCTCAAAAGAACATCAACACATGTGAACAAATCAAATTTAATTGTATATTCAAATAGATATTGTGTATGAAGCACCCCCCAAGCACCCCCTCCCCCCAAATTGCGCCTATGTGTATGACATTCAACGATGTATTGAAAAATGTGATTTGACGTTAAAGTGATAGTTAATGTTGTTTTTTTTAAATATGTACATATATTGTATGGATTGTACATTGTTTAGGAATGTATCACGAGGTTCCAATGTCAGCAACAAATAGGAACCAACCTGGACATCAGAATTTAAGTCAATGCCAATATAATACCAACATCACCAATCAATCATTGAGTATATTTTATTTATATATGCAATTTTATCTACTCATATATCTATAAATTTCGTGTAATATCAATTATTACCTTTTTTTTCTTATATTATTTACTAATTGTATTTGATGTTGTTTGTGTTGTAAACAAACCATATGATAAATAAATAAAATACACAAGCAATAGTCTAACAGTTAGAGCCTCTAACCTAACCATAACAATTAAAGCAAAATTATTGAACATCATCTAAAAATAATTATTACAGTACAATTAAATTCAAAGGCCATCAACACTCAGTAAACTAGAAAACGCATAAATGCAATTTATTATTTTGTTTAATTTATTAATAGTGACAGTAACATAAAATTAATTATGATGTTGAAACTGCATTACTTCATAACTTTTATGGAGTACATCTGTCTAAAAATCTTGGATATAGACAGACTTCACGAATATGGTATCTATTCAATAACCAACACATGAATCTTTCCAATCCTAAGCCATATCCACCATGAGGGCATGATCCAAATTTCCTCTAAATTCAAAATTAAAATTTAGTTTTACTTCAATAACACTATTTTCAAGTAATGTTAGAATCAAAAAAGGTGTCTATTAGTTACTCTAGATTTTGAACATGTAAAATAAAACCAATAGAGCTTCAACAAACCTGATCAGTATACCAGTAATACGGTTTTGGGTCGATTCCGACCTTTTTATAACCAGCCAGTAACTCTTTTTCATCCCAAATACGCATTGAACCACCAACAATTTCACCAACACCAGGCAATAAGACATCCACCTATAACAACATTACATACTTTGGTTAATAATCATACTTAGAACATTTAATCATATACTAACAGATTCAGTAAGAGTATTATCTTCAGGACATCGAGACATATAGAATGATTTGATTTCAGCAGGAAATCTGCACAACATAATTGGCTGATTAATTAAATCCGTCATTTTTCTTTCAGCCATTTCAGGAATGTCCTAAATGAGTAATAATAAGTTATAAATTTGAATTATAAAAATATAAACAAATTACTAAATATTATACACAAAATTACCTCTCCAAATTCATAAAATGAATTATCTTCCTTGGTTATGTTGTTTTCACGCAAAAATTCAATGGCCATTTTATAATCCATTCTTTTAAAAGGTCTTTTCGGTACAGCAAATTCCTAAAACATTTTGATTTTTACTATAAATCCCATTTTAATTAATATTTTGGTTACAACATTTATATTAATGAATAATTCAAATTAAAATTAATCATTAATAATTATAATAATATAAAAAGTGAAAATTATAAATATTTTAAAAAATAATCATGGAACATAAAAATTATAGAAAAATTTGATCAACATTTTTTCCTAAGTTTCTTATTGTAATTCAAAAATTAATAAAAATAAACACTTTTAACAAAAATTCCTATTAGCATTTACTAGATATGATAAACTATGTAAATATTCGCCTATTTTTGTGGTATATAAATATTTAAAATGTTTGGCTTTTTTTGTTTATTCAATTTATGTATGATAAAATTATTGGTTACGAATTATAAGTAAAAACCTTGAAATTTAATAGAATATTCCCCACAATTTTTTCTTACTGCAAATAAAAAGCATCCAAAATTTATAGTCACAATTTTTCGTGTGTGCATTAAAGTTAAAACCTTTACAAAAAATTCATCTAAATCACAAAAATATCCAAATAATTTTGTAGTATTATTAGAATATTTCTAATTTTTTCACCTAAGATTTTAAAACACAATGTTCCTCGTATATTTTTTTTACTATAAATAAAAAATAAGAAATGTATAGCCACATATGGCATCAAATGTGTATATTACTTTGTATAATCTATAGATATAAAAAATATTTAAAAAATAGCAAAAGATTAATATTTATTGTTATGTAAGAATGGATCAAATTATTTATATCTTGTAATGTTTAATTTATTTGATACAGATAAAAAATTACATTTTGTGCCCATACAGTAGATGGCACAAATTCTAAGAGTAATTAATTGTTTTACATCAAGTTACGAGTATACTTATTATTAATTATTATTCATTTTATTTGTTAGGAAAACACCGTAAATTAAAATTGTCTTATTCTCCAGTTATATGATCTGTACAGTTAAAGAATTTGGAGAATATATTTTTAATAGCGTTAACCCAGTACACATGTATTATAAAAAAATACTTAGTTACATACATCACATCATTAGTCTTTTTTTATGATTTTTAGTGCATTTTTGCAATATTTTATGCTTATGTTCTTTGAGCTACAACATCCAAATTTTAGGGATAACATATAAGGCTAACATATATAACCTTAGTTAATAACAATACACCAATTGATGGTGGTAAAGAAGTTAGTTGACAAAAAATAAGTTTGTTTTCCCACGGAATAGGGCATATTGGTAGGTACATGTGTTCCAATAAAAAAAATTGAACTTTAAAATCTAAAAACTTACTGGATTTAATTGTTTCACAATATCAGCATGTGGTGACTCTAAAACACGCTTCACTACATCACAAATCATATCTTCAATCCGATTTAGTAGATCATCAAAAGTAATAAATGCGAATTCAGCTTCTACGTGAGTATATCTATAATAAAAGTAATGACAGATTTGATGGATGGCAAACGATTAACACTTATTTGATAAACTTCTTACTCAGATAAATGTCTTCTCGTACGACTCTGTTCAGCACGATAACTTTGAGCCATACAAAATACATCACCAAGTGCTGGTAAGCAAGTTTCTAAGTAAAGCTGGGAACTTTGAGTCAAATATGCTTCTTGTCTAAATATTAAATGTTTTTATAGTTTATAATATTATACTATGGGAAAATTATTCTCACCCAAAGTAATCCAGTTTAAACAATGTAGACCCGCCTTCCACTTGAGTCTGTACTAATGTAGGTGGTACAACTTCAACGCAGCCTTTATCTAAATTATGCATACGGAATGCTTGAGTGACCACTGATCTCATTAATAAGATTTTGGATGTCTACAAAATATAATATAATAAAATAATAAAGCATAATTTAAAACCAATGAATTAATATTTTACATTTTCTCCACGAATGGCAATATGCCTATTGTCCAATAGCACCTCTGGATTAGCATCTTCATTCAATATAGAATCAGCACCACCAGGTGGTGCTAATGTAATTAATTCCCAATAATCAACTTGAAGTTCATGCCCTCCTGGTGCCTATTTGACATAGAAAAAGATTTGTATAGTCACACATAAGACTAGATTTTATATATTAGTAGTTATTAGCAAGTAATCCTTACAGACTTTCCTTCAGGAACTTCTTTCAAAACTCCAAAAAGAAGAACAGATGATTCAGTAGACAACATTAAAGCATTATATGTTTGACATAATTTTTCATTAAGAACTGTTTGAACAAAACCTGTGCCATCTCTTAATGTGATAAACATTAATGATTTTCCTATAAAATTTTACTAATTACAACAAGTTATTGCACTTATCTAAATTGGCTGATTCAAAACTTACAATATTATTTAACTATAATTAGTAGATAGTCAAGGGAGTGACTATCACTAAGCCTTAACATTATAGAACTACAAATACCTTGTCTCCTAAGTCTATGTACCCATCCATACATTTTAATCCTTGAATTGCGATATTCAGAAGCATTTTTTATTTTAATTAAAGTGGCAGGCGGTAAAGTAGAATCTTCAGATAATATTAATTTTTTTGCTTCTTCTAAATTTTTATTCCTTTTAGCAGCATCTTCTTCTTCTTTTTTGGCTTTTTCTACATTTTTATGATGTTCTCTGACCCAAAATTTTTGATTTTTCTTTATTTGAGTTTTAGGAGCAGGTTCAAATTTCTGTTAAATAAATGTAATTTGGTCAGTGTATTATTTTCAGTCATAGTATGCACATCATAGTTATTAACCAAAGTATCAAAATTATTATATGAAAAAAAAGTATTAATCGCATACATTGCCTTCGGTTTTAGAATCTACATAAATCACTGGAAATGGTTCTTTTCCAGCATGTTTCATGGCCTGCAATATGGTCTTGAAAGGCTTTAACTCAGTACCATCACCAGAAGTATCATCACCATGTTTTTCTGATGTGAAGAGCTCACCTAAAATATTCATCAAAATTGTATGTCATATAAATAATTATTATTATGCATTTAAAACTATAAATAATTTTCATAATATGTCCAAAACTAAAATCGTCAATATAAATTCCTGGCCACATAGGTCACTGGCAAATACATACTATGTATAAAAAAAATGATTTATATACGTCTTCGGGGACGACAACCAGATGTAATAATAAGCTACATATTATTGCAAGTTGTTTACATACTACAGTGTAGTATTATTATTATTTATGCCATGATTAATGAACGAAATCAGGCCCGGATCGGCTCTGAGAGTTTCCGAGTAGAACCCAGTGGGCTGCGTAAAATTTGGAACAGCTTAGTATGGGTGAACATTTTTGAATACCACTAAGCTCTGAACAATAAAATATGAATAATAATAAATAATAAATATTATTGAAAAATGGGCCGTTAACATTTTTAGGGCCAGTTAAAAATTGAATATTCTAAAACTCAGTGGGCCTATCCAGCACTGTGTGCAATTAGTTATTACAAATTTTTACATCCAAAAATTTTCCATAAGAAATTTTAACGCAAGTTGCCAATCCTTCGATAGATTATCAATTATCATTTAGTTACCAATAGAAAGTTTCTCCACAGCTTCGACAGTTGTACCTTCAGACATGATGTCCTGTGCTCTGCTGTGAAAGTGTAAAGTACTAAAATTAAAAATACTAAAATAGTAAAAATGTAAACTCCACGTCGTCTCAGCCTGTGAGTCGTGGTTGTGACTTGTGAGTGACCGTTTCGGTCGGAAAACAAGATAGGGAATTAGGGAATAGTGATAACTGATAATATTGTTGTTGTAGGTGGGTGCATGGCTATATTATAAATATATTATCTACAAACATATAATCAAATGATCATATTTACAGTAAGTTCCATAGACCTGATAATATTATTATCAGGTCTATGGTAAGTTCTGTGCAATAGACAATAGATAATAATATATGTTATCTTAAATCGTGTCACGGACTGGATATTATTATATTTTGTATCCTAGATTTCTGTGTTCATACTTTATATTATGCAGTTTTAATTATAGTATATTTATATTATACATTAAACACAGCAAGTTCTAATTACACAGAATAGAAATAATATGCAATTATTAAAAATCTGTGGTAACTTAATAAATTAATCATGTAATTAATTTTATTTATGTATAGAAAATATTAATAATAATTTTTGTTTAAATTTTGTAATTTAGTTTTTGCCATAATAATATACTGCATGTCGTCTATGGAATTATGAATAGAGAATAATAAATAATCAGTTTATTTAGTATTCGTTTGTATAGACTACACAGAATGATCTAACAAATTTTAATTATAATTGTTTGGGTATTATATTATATATATTATATAAAATGTCAGAAAACTACAAAGTACAGGTGAATAATGTCATGCATTTAGTTGTGAGTGAATGCTAAGTCGTAATATTAATAATCCCTGTTGCCGAATTGGTTTTTCAGTTGAATCAAGTAGAACAAGCTATCGAACAGACAGAGAGTGTTGACCAATTAAATGATCTATTATCGTTACGAGATAGTTTGGTTGAACTTATAGCACTGACTAGTGAAACTTGTAAATCAGAGCAAACCACTCAAAATCCATTAGATGAAGAGTATGCTCTTTTTAAGGTAATATCTGTTCAATTAATTTTAAATTTTAAAGTTAATCAACAAAACTGTTTAGTCAGAAATTGAAACTATTGACGAAACACAAAATACAAATTATGATGAAGATGATACGTCATCCTGTGAAATTTTAAATGTTTCTGAAAACAAAAAAGTAAGTAATTCAGTATTACTTGATATAATATAAAACCATTTATGAATTACAATAACAAATAATTAAATACTTTAATTGAAATCAGTGAACATAACTTATTCAATTTTGACTTTTTTTAAAGGACCTCCTTACTACTAGATTCTAAGGAACATTTTTAAGGCAACTTTTTATACATTTAGCAATTAGCCTTGTTATTGTATTAGTCATAAATGATTGTTAGTAGTAACATTGATTGTTATTACTAGTATTAATAATCAATGATAGTAGTAGTACAGAGAGATTGCACACGTTCATGTCATATAATAATTTTGTAATAGCGAAAGAAATTATTATTTTTCACTCAAACAGACAACTCTAATTTCAATAATACCTCTATTTGCTGTCCGACAGAAAATCTTAATTTCCCCCAAAATGTACGAGAGATCAATCAAAGCACATTTTTATAATTGTATTTAGTTGATTAAATATTTAAGTTCGAAATTGTTGAAAATTATAACAACATTAATTGCTATCTAAATTACAATAAATCGTATATAATATTCAGGAGAATCCCAATATTTTTTTTAAATGATAATTATCAACACATATTGTTGGAATGAGAAACAGTAGTTATGACAAAAAAATTACATTTAAGAGGTTCCTTGAGAATGTGAAGAAGCCTCCTTGTGTTGTCTGTGTTTCACAAACGTATAACAAAGCAAATTTGTTTTCTGCAGTTCCACTTTAGTCTAGTAAACTTTAATAATAGAATGAACCTATTATCAAACTTAAAAGTAAGAATATTATCTGTATTTTCAGTTTTCACAATTTATTTTTAAGTGAGTTGTAATAATTTTTAAATTATAATATTTCACATAATTACTTAAAAGGTTACCAAACCCCTATAAACTACTGCTTGTAATGGAGTTTAGGATTCGATAAATGTATACATTTTTAGGATGTATGTATTGTTACACAAAATTTGTAATAATTGTAATCAATAATTTCAAACCAATTATACAAGTTTAGATACACATACTCATAACTTGCTTAAAAACCTCTCTATTAAGGACCATTGCTGCCTTCAAGAGATTTCATCGTCTATCTCTGCTGTATGTTGATGCCAAGGTTACATTTTGGTCCATCTTTTTCAAATCTCTAGTTATTACATCGATCTATTGGGTTCTAGGTCTTCCTAGGAGTCTTTTTTTGTTTATTTTTCCAACGAGTACTTTGTTTTATTAATTGCCCAAATGCTCTCCAAGTGTGGCCAAATCACTCTAGTCCTTTAAAAACTAATTATTAAAAATATTGTAAAAACCCATGTGAAAACAGAAAATATTCTTAGCTTTTAGTACTTCTGACAACTTCTACAAATTTGATATGTTGTATGTTTGTAAGATGAAAACAACCCACACAGGTGTGTATATCCTCTTAATAATTATTTATGTGTGATAATAATTGTGAAGGACTACCCCAAAATAAATTTTAAAAATGTACATTGTACAATGTAAATTAATAGAATTTGTTTTTAGGTGAACCATGATAGTCATTCATCCAATACATTAATTGAAATAGATTCAGATAGTGATAATATAAGTTCTTGTGAAATTATTGATGACCATCATGAAACTAATGGAATTGAAGTAAATTAATTCACATTATTTATTAATTATTAATTCATTAGTAAAATATTTGATTTATTAGAGCGAGTTGGCAAATTTACAAGGAACCAAGTGTCAAGCTCCATTTGAAACAGACTATGATGAAACATCAACATATCATAATGCACTCATTATGTCTGTTAAAATGAATGATTCGACAGATCAACAATCATTGGATGATATATTAGTAAAGTTTTTAAAATAATATTGTTAAGTCTTAGTTTTTCTAATTTATTAAAATTATATTTTATTAGGTAACTGTATTGTATACAAATCCAATATGCAAACAAATGCTACCTTGTCAATTTTTTTTAAGTGGCGAATGCAAATATTCTGATGATAGATGTTATTTTTCTCACGGAACTCAAGTTCCTTTATCACGCCTCACAGAGTTTAAGTAATGTTGTATACTAGTTTATAATTTTATAATATTTGTTTATATCCATATTTTTTCCCCTTGATGTATAGAGAACCAGATTTTAAAAATTTAAAAATAGGAAGTCTGGTATTAGCAAAATCATCTGAAGGTGGTCTTTGGTCTAGAGCCATTGTCTTAGATATTACTCATGGCACATCAAATAATGATGGAAGTTGTACTGTTAAATATGAAACTAAAGGACTTGGAGAAACAGAAGTTCCAATGCAAAATATTTTTCCTTTGATTGGGAACGGTATTATCATATTTAAATAAGAGTGGAACAAAATATATTTATTTATACATTTGTAGATGAAGAAATTTACGACTTGTCATCCGATAGTGACGAAGAAAGTAAAATTAAAGAACGCGATTCAGTAATAGTTAATAAAGTGCTATTAAGTACAGAACCTATACAATCACTTGGAAATTGGGAAAAACACACAAGAGTACTTATTTTTGTTTATTTAGTTGTACTTACAATAGTGACATTAAAATGTTTTTATTTTTATTTTTTTTTAAATTTTAAACAATTTGTTTAATAAACAAAAGTCATGTTCATCTGTGTGCACAAAACACCAGATGTATTTCGACCATTTGTATAAATAATTTTTTTAGGGTATTGGTTCGAGATTAATGGCTAAAATGGGATATATAATGGGAGCGGGATTGGGTAAAAACGGCGAAGGAAGAATTAACCCTGTTGAAGCTACAGTTTTACCAAAAGGAAAATCATTAGGCAAGTAGTAAAATTATGTTAACATAATTTATTTTAATAACCTTTTAAATTATGTTTTCAATATTTCCAGATCACTGCATGTCTATAAAGAATACTGAACAAATTCAAGATGCCCGTAAAAAACGGAAACAACAATTGAGACTTGAAAGATGTATGAAAAAATCTTATGAGAAATCATTAGAAAAGCCTCCAGATGTTTTTACGTTTCTCAATAATGAACTTAGTAAGTGTGTCAAATACAAGTATGTAGCCATTTTATTTTATATTTAATTCATTATTTTGTATAGATATCAAAAACAGTAATCAAGATAAAAACGTGATGGATCAGAAGAAACTAAAAAGTTCTACAATACACGACTTGAATGTTAGAAGTTTAAAAATAGAAGAAGATATAAAACGACAACTAACAAATATACAAGAGTTAAATCATACATTAAATCGAAGTACATCTGGTTCCATTCAGCATAATATGGTCAGTCAGAAATTGATTGAAGCTAATAACCATCTCTCACGCTTGAAAGATGAAGATAAGTCTATAAAAAAAGAACATACATATAGAGAAACTCACAAAAAAATGACTGTATTTTAATAAACTAGGGCTAGAATAATGTACATAATATTCTATAAATATTCTATAATACAAATATCAATCAAAATTTGTTTTAAAAATAGAAAGTTTTTATGGTTGCTTGTATTTTTAGAAATAAACAAAATTAAATTATTGTAAGTATTACAATAGTACCCTTGTTTGTAAGTATAATATATAGTTACCTATAAAATCATTGGTTTTCTTTTTTGTTTAAATATATACAAATTATTTTGTTGTTAGAACCATTTGAGGGGGTAGATGAGTAATTTTCACTCTTGGGGACTATATTGGTTTTTTGACATATTTTATGCATTTTATACTTACATGACGTGCCAGTGGCGTAGCCAGGGGGAGGCTGAGGGGGCTGTAGCCCCCCCCCCCCCCGAAATGCTTAGAAAATTAAAAAATTCTTCCAATGGTCTATGAAAGTTGCTACAAAATTCTTAAATCGTATTTAATTAATTTTAAATTGTCACCTTTATTTTATTATCTTTCTATTGCCGCGACCATGGCTAAATAACAGTACAACTTAGTACACTATATTATACCCTATTAAAAAGAAAATTCATTGCTATAATTATTTTTTTTTAAATAAATAATATGGGTAAAATAATTTATTGTATATTACTATAAAATACAATATTCAAAGTATTTAAAGTATACAAGTGTATTAAATCAATATATGTAAAGGGTTATAAGAACTAAAATCTAAAATAAAACTTCGGCATCTGCATTCTGCATGTTCAAATTATGGGAGAATCTAGGTAAACCATCGCTGTGTAAAAAATTGATCAGCCCCCCCCCCCGAAGAAAAATCCTGGCTACGCCTCTGACATGTACACATGGAAAATAAAAAAAACATTAGTATAGTTATTTATAACTCACAAAGTATTACTATATTTGAACTAACAACTATTAAGCTACACAATTTCTAAATATTCTTTAAATATAATTTTTGATTGAAATTCTTCACAATCTTTCAATTTATTCAATATGTTACGTATGCATTCAGGTCTTGCTGCCTCTAACGTTCTAATACATTCTACAATTGCTATGATATTTTCTTTATTAGGCTGCCCAGAACTTTTATCTTCATTATATAGAGCTTTGACCAATATTGTTAGCAATACTTTCCAATGAGTACACTGTCTCGGCCAAGTTTGTTGAATAAACACTTCAATAGCCTAAAGATAAGATACACATTATAAGGCAGATGTAGTGAAATCATAGTTAACCTATAGTCAAATCAACCTACCTTCACTGCTGAAAAAGTTGTTTGACTATTCATGACATACTCTGCAAATAATGGTATCAAACGCTCCGACCAACGAATACAAGAAAATCCAGTAGACTCCAAAACAAGTGGAAAAATTGATGCGTAACACATGATTGGTTCATGTTTACGTTCTAGTTCCATTCGTGGAAGTAAAATATTCATAACATCATCAAACTTTGTCCACTAATTAAAAGATCATTCATCTGAGTAAAAGTAAGGCATGGTTTCTATAATAATGTTAGACATTTACCTCTAAGGAATTTTTGTTGCTCAAATGTTTCATTTGCATCTTTGAAATCAGTGATAAAAGACATTTCATTAAATTGGGTATTAGCTGAAATTCAAATGAACGCAGACCAGTTTCTAATGACTTCAGTAAAACTATGTCGTGGCCACTCATTGCTAATTCCACAGAAGGCTAAACACAAATAAAATAAAGTCTTCAATTTGAGTTTTTATGCAATGAATTTTAAAGTGCAAAGTAACAGTAAAATTGTATTAGGTATAATACGTATACCAAAACATATACTAACTGTATTATCAATGATGTGTTGAAAGGCATCTAAAGCAGTCAGTATATTTGAATCTTGGTAATCATCAAACATATTTAATGGTAACGGCATCACCAAGTATAATAAAGAATTTAAACGTGGCATCTAGAACAAAGTATATTGTATGTTTTACTAAAGAGGACACTTCACCTGCATGTGCTACAAACATTCAACATAGCAAATTTGAATTCAGAAGAATTAATTGCTAGTTACACTATTTCAGTGAACTGGATATTTGGACTACTTTCAAATTTAAAGGTAAGAATATTATATTTATGATATGGCATAGGTTTTTATTAATAATTGTATTTTAGGGGATTATGATAAATTTAAAATTGTATTTTTTTCATAATATAATTCACTCTAAAATTTAAATATCAATAAGAGCCTGTGAAATGCTCCATATATTATTCTTGCGCATAAAAAAATTACAAAAATAGGTCAATTTTAAACCTTAAATTAAAATAATCAATACAAATTTGCCATTTATGCTTGTAAGACAGAGGCAACACCATGCTGATATAATATCTATTTAAGTGAACAAAAATATTTGCTATAAAATATCTTTTATAGTGTTAACTTACTTTTAAGTGTTTCAAAATCCATATAAAACACTCAATAGCAGCCGGATATTTTTTCCAATTATCATTTTCTAATTTACATTGCAAACCAACAAAAATCTTAGAAACATCTAAATGAGTAATTAATTCTTCAATATTTACATAATGCATAAGACAGCACAATTTTTTAACACACAATTTCATTAATGTATGGCTTTCTTCATCACTCCATGGTAAATTTGATTTGCAATGTTCACCGCATAAATATAAGCAAGGATTGATTATGTCCTGAAGCTTAAATTGAAGGTTTTCATCTTTATTTAAGAGTGTACTCAACAAAGTGTTAAGTTCATTTAAAATAGGTTTAGCAATTTCTAAATGAGCCAATAATGCTTCATCACGTTTAGCCAAATCATTTTCATTGTTTGATACTTCTGGTACACAACCAATTTGTATATATTTAATGATCTGGTCAAGACTTTGTGTACTACTTAGATCAATGTTTAATGCCATTTTGTAATTTAACCTACAGAGCAAATAAGAAAAAAAAATAAGAAATAAGACATGGTTTAAAAATTATACAAACATTATAACACAATATCAATTTTATTCAATAATTTTATGATTACTTAACATAGAAATTTAAATAATAATTTACAATAATGTTGAAATGTATGTATATACTATATAATGTTTAGCTACACTTGTAAATTAAACTCGTTAATTCCCTGTTCATTAATATTGAATTTATAACAAAGGTTTACATTTTTTCTTGTTATAGTTGCACAAAAATCAGAACTCAACCTTTTGAACACAATTCTACGATTTACACAATCTAATAATGAATCATCTTGTTTAGACTGAAAATAACTTTGTCTAGAAAACATAATAGGTACTTTAAAATCTTCCAAACAAATTTTCAATGATGATATCATTTTCTCTACATATGTATCTATATACTTTTCACCGCCAGACACTGTATCTTGCCAATAGTTTGCAGAAACACTATCTAAAATAACCAACCCCACATGAGACTGTTCAGTGAGAAATAGTTTTAATCTTTGAAATGTAACATACAAAGTTGGACTATCATAGCAATTGATCAATGTTAATTTATTTAGACAGGACTTCACTAAATCATCATCAGCATTCTTAATTAAACGCTTAATGATTTTAACCAGTTTGGTAATATTGAATTGTCCGTCTAGATCAATGTAAACAACACCTGTATCTAAGCCACTCGCATTTTGAGGAATGATGCATTTTGCAATACATTCGGTCAAAAATAATGTTTTTCCAGTTGATGCATTTCCAATTACTTCTATGGTCTCACTAGTCAATTCGCCTGGTAATAAAGGTGTTAGATCTTTAATAATCGGCCGTGCTACAAGCCTTTCTAAAAGTTGTAATCCAGATTCAGCTTGAGATTTAAATTCCATAATTACCTTGTTCTCACGATATTTTTGTACTACTGAGAGCCAAGTTGAGTTTTAGATCTGTCAGGGACTTTTCGCCGTATTTGTGTAAAGTTTTTATAGAATACTGGAAAAAAAAATTGTTTGATTGATATGTAATATTCGATAAATATGAATAGTTATATATTTCAGTGAATAAAATGTGCAGTACTCCACATAAAACAATGATAAATTAATAAACAACTATTTTTTTAAAACATTGTACATTAATACAAACACAATTGTATACAAAAATTGATCTAAAAAAAACCCGAATGGTAAAAGTATAACTTGTTTATAATTGTATTTATCTTACTTATGGCAAAGGATGTCATTTAATTTCTTATATATGATATACATTACTCAATTGTAAGCTTAAGAATTAAATATATAAAAAAAAGGCTTGGTTTTATTACAAATAACAATGGGCGTTACTGCTTAATTTAATTTTAAATAGTTATATAGAAAACAAACTAATACAAACCTCATCAGTTTCAAATTTATTTTTTTTGAAATCTTCTTTTACCCAATTGATAAATTGCTGTCTATCGCTTTCTAATGGTATAGTCTTGATTGTTTTTAAAAATTCTCTATACAGTTTTAATGATTTCTGACGTAGCATAAACTAGAACATAAAAATACATAACATTTTAGTTATTATACCCTTCAGTATACTGTTTTCTATGAATCTAGGATGTTTCCCTCCACCTCTCCCCCATCAATTGGACATTTTCCCCAAAAGGGTCAATTTCTCCCCGGACAAAAAATTAAAAATTTTTTTTACAAAAAATATTATATTATTATACAATTATTAATTTAGATGTAGTTATGGTCTTAAAAACTAGAAACATCAGTAGGTAATACCTACTACCTACTAGGTATCTCTTTATTCTATGATTTCTATCTTGTTGCTATATATGCTGTTGGTCACCATTTATATATTTTTTGGGAGGGTGCTCCACTCTCACACAATAATCGTATACAAACATTATAATTTATAAAATACAAGTCAGGTCAATAGGACCACCACATGATTTTTGGCTTGGGCCTCTAACAGGGGCGCACCAAAGGCGGTGGCTAACGGGCTTTAGCCCCCCTCCCCCCAAATGGCTAGCCCCAAAAAATATTTTATTAGGTTTATTGACAATTGACATTTGACTTTAAATTATTATAAAAAAAAATATCAACTATCGAAATTTAAATATTAGGTATAACATAATGTCATAATATTATATTATATTTATACCTGTCATTCCGGGCCCCGAGAGAGACCTCTGTTGTTTATTATTATCGTCGCAACGTCGTTAGTTGAAACTGTGTACTGTGTAGAATACCGGAAACGTCTAGATTATACATTTTTATCGATACAATTTAGTTTATCTCAAACCGCTATGCTTCATATTCACAGAGAAATCAATGTTCAAACTTCAGAAGTACTCTCAATAATGGGGAAAAAAGGACCAAGGCGTCTCAACTTTATAAGATTGTAAACAAGCTTTAAGATTTCTGTACATATTTCAAAATAAATACTACCTATTAATATTAAAATTTTTTGAATTTAGCCCCCCCAAAAAAAAATTCTGGGTGCGCCCCTGGCCTCTAATAAGATATCTGATTAGTGTTTGAGCAAGCGCACTCCCCACACATGTGACCTAAGTGACAAGTCTATTATTGTAAGCAGTTATGCGTGTTTTATTTTTGTGCCTGTACATATGTTAAATAGGTAGTCGAAATAATGCTTTGATTTTCAAATTCAGTATCTTATCAGGCGGCAAAGTGGATCTATTAGATACATTTGGGAGATCAGAATTTAAATTACAAGTTTTCAAAAGCGGTGGGAAAAAAAATTTATGTAAATGTGATGTACTGTGTGTCCACAAAAACAGTACACAAAAGTTGTTGAGCATGCCAAAATACTAGAGTTAAAAATTGTAAGTTATAGGACCTACTAGTTATGTACCTTCTACAAACCAAATCAAAATAATATATTTATATTCTACAGAGTGCTGAGTAATATGAGTAACTAAGTTATAGAGCGTACCTTGTTTTAGTAGCCACACGGTACCTATATTATGCTTTAGTTTTTATTTATTTATGTACAATGTAAATATCAAAGCCTCGTTGATCGAGAGATGTGTTTAGACTAAATAAACCCTCCAAAAGCTAAACCCTCAAATGCTAACTGCAGTGAGGGGAGTGAGTGCCGGTAAAAAATTAGATTAGGGGTAAACATCACATTTTCACATTTCTTGCACGGTAAGTTTTAGAAAAAAATGGCTATTTAATCCATTTCAAATTAGTTGTTTTTAATCAAGAGGTAATAAACATCTGTTGTTTGATCCCCGGCTAATGCCAATATTTTTTTAATTTATTTTATTCTTATGTTTATCAAGTGACGTTATATTATATTATATAATTGATAATTTAAAATACAAATGATTAGTAAAATATTCATTAAAAGTATTAAATAAGTAATTAAGAACACAATCATTTTAACATGTCATAAATTCTGTTTTTGTATGATATTTACAAATAGGTTATTTAATTTTCAAGGACAAAATTGACAAAAAAATGTACGAGGGTGGCAAATAAAAGGTGCTACATTTCGAATGAAATACCTAGTTAATATTGGATAAATATTGTTCAGTGCACACGATCCCTTAAACAATTTCATATATTTAGTATTTACTCACTTGTTTCAAGTTCAATGCTTTGTTGATCATATTTTATGCCAACCAAAAAATGTACTGAGGACCACACTTACAAATAAACATATATAATATTAATATGTGAATATACCTTAGAGTAGGATTTGAAAAATTTAGTTGCTTTCAGAAAATTTAGAAAAATTCAAAAATAGTGAAATTTGAAACCATAGACAGAACATTCCCAATTCTGTATGAAACTATGAACAATTCACAACACAAATAATTATTAATGATAGTACTATCTTAAATCGTGTAGTTACTGATATTAAACACAAACTTACCAACAGCTTGAAAAATTATGTTTGGAAGGGTCGGGGTGCGGTGACGGGGTCGAGTAAAAAAGAAATAGTTACCAGGACAGCTGCTGGACACATGCGCATCGCGCACAGCGTTCGACTAGCAACGACGATCCACTACCATGCGCACCTTGCGGTGCGCCTGGACATCGCGCGCGCGCTTTAAGTTGATTTTCGGTTGTTGATTGATACTAGAGTCTAGAATTAGATATTTGTATTTTGTATCATTATTCTATGTTTTTGGGTGTTAATATTTGAAAATATTACATTTTACGTTGCACTAAAACACATTTTGAGAACGGCACCTGTTCGAAAATGAAATACGTCTGTGGTCTGTCGTATAATTCGTAAATCATTCATGAAAACCGTGCGGATAATGTACCAAAGGTAGTATCTTATTGATTTTTCGTTACCTCGCGAGGTGGTTATTGAAACAGCAAAATAAACAAACTGCACATGATAAGACTCGTAAATTTTGAATATTATGCCAACATTAATAATTTAATTTGATTTAATTTGATTGCACATCGTAGGTACGGTAGTAGATTTTTGTATAACAATATAATATTATTGTAAGATTGCACACATTAATATACACAGTAAAAATGAAGAAAATGTTGAAATTAGTAAAAGGGGGGAAAAAAGAGGATAAAAGTGGCTCAGGCACGCCTTCAGGCGATGAACTAGAAGACGAAACGGACAGTACAATGTTCTGCTATAAAATTGACTCTGAAGCCGAGGACAAAATGAGTCGATTACACAGGGCTTCATGGCATGGCAGCCTAGAAAAAGTCAAGACATTGTTGCAAAAGAAACCAATGGACGTGAACACTGTGGACAGCTTTGACAGAACGCCATTGCACTTGGCAATGGCCAAAGGTTACTATAACATTGCTTGGGTGCTGTTGAATCATAATGCTAGCTTAGATTATGTTGATTGCGATGGGTACACACCGTTCTTGAAGGTATCACAATTTATTAAATTTGGTGGTAGTTTGTAATTCTTACTGAACAATGGCTTTGAAGAACCAAATATTTTTGGTGAAAGGAATACCTATTTAAAATTAATTAAGTAACCAATATATACCTAATTCCAACAAGTCCAACACATTAACGTTAAGTATATTTTAAATATTTTTCTAACAAGTAGTTATAATTTGGTACTTCACAAACTAAAATTAAAAATTGAAGATCACATGTTACAGAGACAGTATCCATTATACTGCAAGATTGCTTAAAAAGGCTTTTTTTTTAGCTTTTTGTACAATTATAGTTGACCTATTGATTTATCATCGTTTTCTTGTTATTTTAATTTTGTAGCAATACATTTGTATGTTACAAAAGCATAATATTTTCTATTTATTTATATTAATTGGTTCTTCAGAGTCATGTAATAACCATTTTATCTACGCAAATAATAATTGTCTAAACACAATTTATAGCTTTTTACTAATTTTATAAATATAAGTAAAATAACCATGCACATGTAGGCTGTAGAATGCGGCCAAAAAGAATGTGTTCATTTAATGTTGGAGAGAGGGGCAGATATAACATGCACAGACACAAATAAAAATTCTGCTTTACACTTAGCTGCAAAACAGGGTTCATTCACTATAATATCTATGTTACTTAAAAAAGGAATTAATATAAATGCACAAAATGCTGTAAGTATATCCTAACACGGCTTTCTTAGCACTAACAAAATGTTTCTCAAATGGTATGTTATGGACCATAATATGTCTTCTATTGATTAAGAGGACGTTTTGCTCTGTCTTACTAATACATTACAAAGAACATTTAATCTTATTAAGAATCAATTTTACTGTTATTTTTAATATTAGAGTCTCCTGTTATAAAATTTAAAGATCAGAATATTATCCAGGGCACAACGTCTTTAACTAATTATCCATGTGTTAATAACTTAACATAAACTTCTATTGTTTCCTTAAATTTAATGTAACATCAATTTGTATGTTTATTAACATTATATTTTAGTTGTAATTGTTTTATTAACCCATTTTTATTATATACAAATAACATTTGAGAAGTACCTATCATTATATTTGTTTATATAACTTATAGATAATTTAAGAAAAACATTTTTAGGCAGGTGAATCCGTTTTACATGTTGCATGTGCTGCTGAAAATCGTGATTTAATAGAGTTTATATTAGATAATGGGGCACTAATAAACATAGCAGATAAACAAGGACGTACACCATTAATGGTGGTAGCAAAACTTGGAAATATGTCTATTGTAGACCTGTTATTGGATCGAGGAAGTCAACTTGATGCTTGTGATATAAATGGTAGTTAAATTAATAAAATATTAAGTATTGTAGGTTACAATATTCACAATATTTTGTTTTAGGCTTATCTGTGAAAGATTATGCTGCTAAGGAAGGTCATTCTAAAGTAGTGAATCAACTATCTATGCAAAAAATGAGTGTAATGGCCCGAACTAGATCAAAGGAAAATGTTTTAGATAATTTGGACCAGAACGATGGTGCTGAATTACAAGAAAATAATGATAATTCAAATAATCAAAAAATTGTTGATGCTCAAATTATAGTTCTTAGAGAAGAAGACAAAATAATAAAATCAAATGTCGAGGATAATCAAAATGATGAAGAATATGTGGCTTTTAATTCTACAGTTGAAAATGATAACAATTTAAAAATTAAAAAACTGGATGTTGAAGAGGTAGAAAATAAGAAGGAAAATCTGACCTTAAATTGTAAAGTTAATCATCCTGACGAGTTAAAAACAAACAAATTAGATACTGAAAATAATCAGAGTGAAGAGAAAATAGTAACTTTGAACTCTCCGGATAATGAAAATGAAATAAATGATAGCTCTGTAGAAAGAGAAAAAGAAGTAATTGAGAAAAATAAATTAGTTTTTGAAACCAAAAATACATCTATAGTAAATGTTTTACCAGTTAAAGATGAAGAATCAGTATCTCAATGCACAATGCCTCCACTATTAGATCCACCTAGAAGTTGGGATTTTATACAGACAAGCATAATACACACTACAGATATAAACGAAAAAGCTGAAAAAGAAACTCAAGAAAGTATTGAGCAAATCCCTGATCCAATTGTGTGTGCAGTAAACACAGATGATTCAGAGTTTGAATGGGGAAGTGATGAAAGCCTTCCAACTGATCCTAATCAATCCTGTCCAGCTGTAGACGATAAGAAAGAAGAAAATAAAAAAATGAATACATTTTATAATTTTATAACTACAAAGTTAATGAACAAAACAAAAAATAGAGTTTCTGCATCAGCAGACAATATCATTGATGATACTACTACTAAAAAACATGTGAGGAATAAGTCTTTCACTTCACTAAGGACTTTTAAACTCACTGTTCCGTCAGATGTAAACAAAGCATTATATCAGCTTAGTCCAGAGATGAACTTTGCACATTCTTCATTTAGTAAAAGCAAATCTTTTAATGAACAAATACCCATCGAAAATGTTGAAAAAAATTCTTTAGAATTTGAACGTTCTAAGTCATTGTGTTTGGAATTAAAACATACTTATGATATAACCGAGAATCAGCAGAGAGATTCAGATAGCCAAAGTGATGATAGTTTACGTTCAAAAAGAAGCCTTTTGTTATCCATGCGAATGCCTAAAGTTCACGATGAACATCATGATGACTATCATTTAGATATCAAGGACAGTGAAACATCTGAAGACGAGGGCCCACATTATTGGTACAGTCCAAATAAAAAAAATGATAAAATAGTGCAACAAGACACTGTTATTCGAAACTACAGTGAATCAGATAGCGAGTAAGTTTTTCTTACAAAAACAACTCATATTATTTTGCTTTGTTGTTTTTAATTTAATAAAAAAAACTCATATCCAACTTTTCTTTGTGATATTCATTTTAATTTTTAAGTCACAAATTCAATAAAATACTACTGAACTAAATTATACTTCATTGATTGGGCTACAAGAAATATTTTTATTTCGTAAAAAGTATGTTGCTTATTAATAAACTTCTTTGTGGATTTCAGATCTGACGAAATTGGTTTACCAAAATCTAAGTCAACTCCTGGTAAATATAATAAACTATTATAAATAATATGAATGTACACTTTACATAATAAATTTAATATAAGACACTTATTATTTCAAAATATTTTCTTTGGAGACTTATCTTCAAGATTTTGAAGTACTTTTTAAACATTTTATATGTTTAGATACCCTTTACTAAAACATTTTCCTACACTATTGTGAATTAAATAAAACGTTAATTTTCTATACAATGAATTTGTGACAGGTACTAACTATTTTATTCATTTTCTGAAATAATAAGAATCTTATACTAATGGATCAATGGACTCCTTTTTAGACACTGTCCTTTACAGGCTTACAGTATAGTACTTTATTTATAGCACCATTCAAATTTATGTTTTTATTTTACCATCCAAGGTGTCTCTTTATGGTCAATTTTTGAGTGTACAGCTTTTCTCAATTCATTTCTGTCCGCTTTTCTTTTCAATGTGGTTCCTCCTTTCAACACTTCCTTCTATAATCAAATTTAATCGGTGGCACCTAAATTCTAAAATGTTAATGTTGCAAACTAATATTTATATAATTAATCCTATCTATTTATCACCTACCCTCACATGGACCATTCTAGTATTCAAATTTTCAATAATACATATTTATTTATTAGGTTTCTTAATTTTTTATATCCATCTACAATATTCAAATTTGTTGTATGACCTTCTATCATACAAATACAAATCAATTCTATTTCTATGTCTTTCACAATATCTGCTATAGTACATTCCTTTGTTTGACTAGTTTGTATGTTACCATAATTTTTTATTACTTCAACTTTCTAGTCTTCCATATTATTATTAAGTTTTCTTCACCTTCTACTGTCTTGATTACTACTTCTATCCCTTCATACACTTTCTATTACCAACATAGGTAATAAATAGGGCTCGGATTCATGTGTAAATATATAGATGTTTTCACTGTGACTTGATAAACTAATAATATGGCAGCTTATAAATTTATTTCACATGGTTTTCAATTAAATTAGCTATATTTTATTTCATACATTTGTCTTAAATACATGGTTTTACATTTTCCACAATAATTTAGTTTTTTCTCATATAATATTTAGATAATTTTGTTAATTTAGACTAATATATTACATAGTTGCCATTGTTGTCAACTTATTTCTAGATAAAATTCTATCAGCTGAGATACCAGATATCTTATTGAAGTATCAATTAATTTTCAAATCTGAAAAGTGGACATGCAACAAGCCGTAGTGCATGTTTAGCTTGTATTTGTTATTTACACATGTGTTATATATATTTTGAATATTTTAATTTTTAAGATACTGTTTTATGATATAATTTTTCAATGCAAGTATTTATAAGACATTCAATACAGAAACCTTTTTATTATTTTTGAGATTACATTGCTTATTTTGAGTGTGAGCACTTACCTATGTACATTATTTTGGTTGCATGATTATTAATTTTGGTAGTATGAATATACTAAAATCTAAGAACTAGCAATAAATAGTAAATAATTATTGGCTATCTCCCAATAAGCGGTTTACCAAATAAATATTCTGTTGACTAATGAACTGTGGTCAACCATAATTATAATAAAAATATAGTATGCAATCTACATTAAAAATTGTATTAACTTAAGTAATTTTACTTAAAATAAATAAATATTAAAACTAAAGCTAAATTTAAAAATATTTTAAAGATTAAAACAATGAGATTTGATTGTCCAGTTAAGAAACTATGACGTTATTTTACAAGCATTTTAAAAAATTAATTATAATCTACTAAACTAGTCGGAGTAACTCACTATAATATACCATAAGTGATACTAAACCAAATAGGCTGGTTTTATAAGATTAACAGTGAGAGTAGGAGGTATAAACTTACTGAAGAAATAAATTGTCTAAGGTAATTTAAAATAATACTATAATTATAATAATACAGATATCCTAGGTATAGTAGAAAATAAAACATTGGTAGATTGCATATTGAGAGATAGTCTACCAATTAATAATTGTTATCATAATTTAAATTATAATTTTTAATGCATGTTAATCAAAATAAATTTTGACCCTTCCCCTCATACCACACATCCACACACAACTCTGGGTTATGCCCATAGGCGTGCGCAGACTTTGACCGCAGGGGGGGCCCTTAAAAATTTTCCAAATATTCTTGTACTAATGAATACTGGTATAATTAAATATTTAATTGTTAATTTTATAAAGTATTTATTTAATTCAATAGGTATACAAAATGTAAAATAAAAACTAATGTCTAGTATAATACAGATATCTATGCATTTATTAAAGAAAAGGCCGGAGGCCGCAGGTGGGGCCGTGGCCTACCCGCCCCCCTCCCCCCGTGCGCACGCCTATGGTTATGCCACTGAAATGGACCATTCTGTATAAAATATTTATAAACGCAAATATATAAACTATGCCAGCGGTTCTCAACTTTTTGTAGATCGGGCGCCCCTAATGAAAGATTTTTAGAAATCGCGGATCCCCTCACCAATTTTTTTTAAATACTTTTCTTACAAAACATCTCATGTTATCATAACCAAAGTTATAATAATTACTTTATATTACAAATTACATAACTAGACATATATAGTTGTCATCGTAGATAAAACATACACATTTATAATTTTTTTATTATACTTAATTTTTCATAAATTAATCTATAATTGTCATGAATTATTAGGTGTGGGATCTACACCTAGCATCTAACACAGTAGATACTTAATTGTATAAAATTATATTATGTCTCATCATCTCATGTCACATATTGACATAATATGTTATGTGTTAAGACTGCCACAAAATGAGTATTGTGGATCAAAGATTAAGAACCGCTGAAGTATGTAATAAAATATTTAACTGTGTGTATAATTTTGTCTTGTGCAATTTGACAGAAGGAATTTCTAAAGAACATAATACGTCAGATAATTCCGATACAGAAAATACAATATCATTTTCAACTAGCCATGAGGATATTTATGGAACTCATAAACGCACTAGATATGCTTTAAAAGTAGATTTTAATTAAATAAAATAATATGCTGAATCATTATTATTATTATTTTAAAATGTTTTAACATATTTTTTTTAGAGAACTGAATCTCTTAAAGCATACCTAAAGAGAGTAACTATTGATAAAGACAGATTACAACAAGAATCATCTGGCTATAGAGAAATAACAGAGCTGTTAAAATACAAGTTGGAAAATCTTAAACAAGATATTTCCAGTAAAAATGAAGCAACTAAGAGACTTGAGGAACAATTAGATCAATTAGATGCTAAATACACAGAAACTTTAAACAGGATTCAAACACTTGAACTGTCTTCAACAAATTTAGATAAAGAAAACCAATACCTCAAAAAAATAAATAAAGAGGTAACCAACAATAATATAGATCATAAAATCATTGTTTTAATACTATGTAATTTATGGCGTTAAATCAGTTTGAAATTCTTGGATACTTAACTTTTAATAATAGCTTGAGTTATTCATGGATCAAAACCGTTTTAATGATTTCATATAAATATACTTTATCTGTATTTTAATTTTGTTGACAGATGATGGATAAAATTAACAATGAATGTACTTCTAACAATATACAAAACTCAGTAGAAATATTAACTGTAAGTCTAATTAACCCGACATTTATTGCTCCAATTCATACTACATCATTAGTTGCATCGTGGTATTTTGACCGCATTATATTTTCAAGAATTAAAACATTTGTTTCATACATTTTTATTGATTTTATCAAAACAAATTAATATTTCATATAGTGAAAAAAACAAAAATTGTTACAAAAAGTTACTTTCTTATACTTAAAAGGGATAATATTTCTATTAATAGGAATATACCAATTTTATTTGAATGATAGCTAACTTCTATCTTAGTTTAATCTATATATAAGTGATACAATTTATTTAGAATATTATTATGTTATTTTTAACAATATTTTTAAAAGATATAGTCAGTATCAATGATTAAAATGTAAAATATATATGTTTTATTAAAAATGTGAAAAAAGTGTGGTTATTTTTGACCATGGCGCAATTAATAGTAGGTTAAGTATATTCAAAAAAATATGTTGTCATTAAACCTTTGTTTTTTTTAGCAACTGGAATCTGGCAATCGTATTGATCAAACTGATGATGTGAGTAAAATGGATAGCAAAACCATTGTAAGTATTAAAATATATTTCTTATCATAAAGGTTTACCTTTACAATGTGTAAACATAATAATTTAAAACAAATTAAATATAATACTTTTTTTAGACTTTATGTTGATCGTTTTTGTTTTTAACTAATGTGTTTAAACTTTATTTTTGTTGTAGATAAGACAGCTGCAAGAACAATTAAAACTGGAACAGGATAGACGAATAGAACTTGATGAACGCGTTAAACTTTTATCTGTAGAGGTTAATGCACATCAGTCATGTAGTTCAACCGTGGAATTACTGAGGGAATTACAATTAAAAATTAACAAAGATTATGTACCCAAAAAAGAAGTATTGAAATTAAAAACAGAACAAGAAAGAAAAATCAGTAAAGTGAAGATGGAAGCTGAAAAAAAATTAGCCGACAAATTTTGCGACCTTGATAAATTACTATCTCAACAAGTGCGTGTCTAAAATTTTAAAATGTTTAATACATAACTGTTCTATATCCACCCTTTATAGATGGATCAACAAGGAAAATTAGAAATGCAAAGAGAAAAAATTGAAAGCCAACTTAAGCAGGAATTTGAGAATACGAGACAAAGATTTCAACTAGAAATTGCAAAACTTCAAACAACACTAAAGAGTGAGTTCAAAAAATACTCTTACACATATTTTAAAAATGTATATAGGTATCATTTTTATACAGCCAAAGAAATGGAGGAACAAATATTAAGGGAGCGGTGTGAAATTCTTTCACAAGAAATTGAAAGAACACAAGATAGTAAATGGAAAACATTGGTGGACAAAACTTATGGAATAAATGATTTGTGCGTAAACAATTTTTAATTTATTTACAATTCATATTTTATCAATACATTTTAATTAGTTTTTAATATATTACATTTCTCCTGTTTATTGAAATAGAATGGTGCTTGATAATTTTCGTCTGCCAGGAAAATCTATGAATCTTAAATATTTTTTTATAGACACTGAACTTTGTCTATTAACTATTTTTTTGGTATACCGATTAATGCTCATAACCTTTGTCAACATACCTAGTTATAATATTTATACAGGCGCAGATCCAGGATAGATTTACGGGGGGGGGGTCATCAAATATTATTAATAGAGATTATCAGGGTTTATTATGATAATATTTTTCGACATCAGGATAATGATGATTACTGATTAGATTACCTTTAAATAGACTAAAAAATAGTTAAACAACTTTTTTTTTTTAATATTTAGGGTATTCAATCTTACATCTCATTTTATTGGTTATAAAATATTTAATAACATTACTTTTTCTACATTTGAGCTAAATATTACTAGAACCTAAGAATAATTTAATGTGAAATAATATAGTATTTTCATTGATTATAAAATGGATTTATTCTATAATAAATCATATTATTTTTTTCGCAAGCCTTTTTTTTTTTTTTTAATTTTTGGGGGGGTGGATTGCTCCCATATCACCCTTGTATCCGCGCCTGTATTTATATCAATTTTATTATAAAAACCATGGTAACAATAATAAATATTAAAAATGTTACAAAAATCGGTCAGATAAAAAAAGTTCTAACCAGCCCAAAAACATATTAATGTTAAAATTATCCTAACAGAAAATCACTAATAAAGATTTATACAAATAATCTCAATAATTATTTCCAGCATTGATGTAGTTTATTATAATCAAAAATCACTTTCAGACAAAAAAGTTCACCTGATATGTTATCGATGCACTGTAAAACTCCAGAGCCAAGTCCCACTTTTGAAAGACAAGAATTAAAAGATATTTCTAGATATCAATACAATGTCCAAACACTTCGAAATGAACTGGATAAAGTAATTACACAAAACAAGGATGGTAAATATGCCAATGTTTTTATAACTAATAGTTTCTTATTAAAAGAATAATTTTGTTCTTCCTAATTTATGTTATATTTTTCTAATATTCATATCATGTATTATTTTATTTTATTTTTCAAAGCTGCTCTAGAAGATGACAAATTGTTTGATGAATAAAAATAACCAATATAGCTGTACTATACAAGCTATGCTGTCACTATTGAAATTGCATTTATCGTATTTATGTTACGTTTTGCGGCCTATATCATTTTTATATGCGACCCCCTTAGCCCTTAACAATATTTTCTGTGAAATTGAAAATATTTAGAAAATTTGACATGTGGTGGTCATTCATTTGTTGATGTGGTAACCACCATACACATTTATATAGTTCAATATCACTTAAAAATGAATTTATTGTATATTTTTTTTATCAATTAAAATTATTGTTTTAAATATGAATACTGAATAATACAATTGAACTCGGAAGTTTGGAACATCTTTACAAACTCAAGTTTAAAATAATTATGTTATATTAATTATAGTTTTATTTATATACAATTTATTAAATTAATTTTAACTTTTATTATTATTATAAGTATATTTTTGTTCCTATTATATATAGGTATTTAAAAGATCTTCCACATTTTTAAGTACGTTCCAGGGTGTGATATATATGTTCAGAACAATATCATAGAAATGAAAAGCAATTATAGTTGTTTATATCATTTATTTAATTTAAAAATAATTGTTATGTTTATGTCTGCTTTCAGACTTCCGAGACTAATTAAAATGTGTTATTGTTGTATAATCAAATATTAATTATCTAATTACTAACTTAAATCAAAAAACTTTTAAAATATTTGCTAATATTTGCTCGTGGATTACTGATAGACATTGGTCTTTAATAATTTAAGTTCTTAATCCTTATTTGTAGAAAAAAACATTAAATACATCATTATTTATTTTTAAAATCTAAAAACCAAGTTTTTAGTACAGCAGTCAGAAGTTATCATTGATTATTAATACATATGTTATTAATTAATGTTCACTCATTGGGTAGAAACCTATCTCAAATAATTCAAAATTTATAATTTACTACCTACTCATGTTTATTGCCAAGCAAAATGTTATATTTTCTATTCCAAAATTATGTAAAACTATTATGATGCATTAACTTAGAAATCACAGCATAAAAGTTTCTTCCCCCCCTTCCCAAAAAAAATTCACAATGTAGGAAAAAACCCATAATCGTTTTAATATTTGTTTTTAATTTACTTTTTGTTACACTATGTTTAAGACAACTTAACAAATTTTACAAATTCATATACTTTTATGAAATTTATACAACAAGCAACTATATAGGCTATATAGTACCCAACAATAAGCATTTTGTAAACTTTACTTTACTCAAACCAGTCATTATTTCAACCTTTTTATTAATATTTAGATGATAAAATTCAATCACTAAAAAATTATATACGTATTTCAATATTTAAAAATAAATACTTGTATACTATAATGACTAATGTACACTTTGTAATACAGTTGTTCAACATCTGAAGTTCTAAAAATTTTAGTTTTCATCTTTTTTATACTTTTTAAATATTTATATTTAACTAATCAATAATGAAGATGTCTGATTATAACTTCAAACATAGGTGTTGACTATTGACAAATTAAGCTTTTATTTGTATGTGGTTAAGAATGCTTAAATATTGCATATTTGTAATTATAAAATATTTTAGTACAGTACAGTTCTATATGGCACATGACCATGTAGGCTTTTTACTGGGATGTATTTTTTTTCTGTTAAATTTTTTCTTGGGGTCTTTTATTACTTACTACTGTTTATGTGTTTACATTTAATTTTAGAAATTACTAATTTGATAAGTTCCTTTTTAGATGCATATTGAAAAATTTAGCATTGCATCACATACTGGATCATGTTTCAATAATTTTTATCTATTGAATCTATTGATTATAATACCTTTACTAGAATCATTTACACTTTAACTACTTGTTTTTATTGTGGATTGAAGTAATATTAAATTTTTTTATTAATTTATGTATACTTGATGTTATTGTTTTAAATAAAAATTCCAAAAATTTTGATCTATAATCTACGAATATTCATTTTTATCCTATGTATATCATTTTATTAAATAAACTTAATTATGCTTCGATGACCTTTGTAATTATAATATTTATGATGTTGTGTTTTGTGTAAGTTAATTTCAACAGTACTGTAAAGAGGGGATTATCATGTTGGGAAATTGGGAACTTTTCTGATGAGGCAGTCATTGTGTTATCTATTTTAATAGTATTTTATGATGTAAAATGTTTTTGTTTACCTATATAAAGACACATTGTATTAATATGAAGGACATTGTACTACTATACACATAGGCGCAAATAAGGGTTGGTGTGGGCCGTGGGGGCTATAGGCTATAGCCCTCCCAAAAACTAATGACTTCACTATATAATACATTGGAATATAAAGTATAAATCTTCACCCCCCCTCCCACCAGAAAAAAAAAAATGTTTTTTATAATATTTAGGTACTTAACCAAACATAAGTATCCAATTAGTAGTGCTCCACCGCCCAATAATATATATGGATATTATTATGACATTTTGTTGATCGTGGATACTACTCATTTTGTGAACAGCTCAACGAACCTTCAAGACCCAACGCTAGGTACCTCCAAAAAATTCTTCCATCATTCCCTATCGCAATATTCCAAATCCACCGAGCTCTTTTCAATTTCACGAAATATTTCATGAAAGAATTCTTAGACATCACGGTATACCGACAACATGGTCAATCCATTTAATATTTTAATCTGTCCTGTGTAAATAATTATTTTTCAGCTTAAAATATAATGTTATAATATAATGGAGTATAATTTGGAATATCCCATATCTAATAATAATTATTATTAAATAATAACTTCGGTGACGACGGTCTTCTCGCCGTACATTTTTAATCGAAACTCGATTGTGACGGTAACACTGAATTTCCCTTAATTTAATTTTGTATTTATTTTTATTAGTACTATTAATTTTTTTTTTAAATTTTCATCATTTTTATTATACATTTTTACGTAATTACGTAAACTAAAAAAATACCAAGGGGGGGGGGGGTGAGAACCCAAAACCCCCCGTGTGTACACCACTGCACGTTGGTCTTTTTCAGTTGTGATTTGAGACGATTTGTCGATTTGAGGTTTCTACTTTCTAGGAATGGAAAGGACAGTGGTCAGCGAAACTTTGTATTAATGATAATGATAATATTTTATTGTTAGCGGTAAATCCACAGATTATATGGTGACATACTATGGTGTATACTTCCAAATAAAATGTGATCATACCTCTTACGAAGAAAAGACTATAGGAGTGTGAATAGTGAGATGTTTGAAAACATTATCAGACTCATTGATATTTTGTTTCACACTATACGATTCATTGACAAGTTTAGGCCAAACTCATCATTATATATTGATCGGAGCATTTGTTTTACTAGAAAGTGTCTTCAGACAAAAATACAAAAAAATTTTTTTAAGTTGAGCAGTGGGTATAGCTTTGCTGTACATTAGCGGGTGTCGTGTGCCCACGTGGGTCACTGAATCCCGGAATAAAAATCCCCGGAAAAAAAATCCCCAGAAATAAAATCCCCGTTAAAAAATCCCCGGTAAATAAAATCCCCAGAAAAAAAATCCCCGGAAAAAAAATCCCCAAAGCAACTATTTAAAAGCGGAATGACTATAATACTACCAATATATAACTTGACTAACTCACTGGACACTCTCTGATAAACGTTGAGCCTGAACAATGATAGATCGAGGCTTGCAATTTACACGGTACATTCGTACTACAAATTTAGTGTGCAATAAGAAAGCATTTTACAGATAAAAAAGGTTCGCGGGCCGCTAGTTGGGTGGGCCTTGGCATAGAGCAATAAAATTTGAAATTGGGAAAATACAAGTCAAAATAACTCAAAATACGTAATATTTGGTATCTATACGTTATTATAACGGTTACGGTTAGTACATCTTCAGTTCCTATTAAGTAACTTTGATTTGTGTGACTGTGCGAGGCCGTAATTGTCCGGCTATGGAAATCAATGCGACTATGGAAATTGTTAAATCTAACCAAGGGAACTATAAAATTTGCTTAAATGGTTATACTTATGTACACCAAAAAGACTGTAAGTTTTTCAAGAGATGGAGGTGTGCAAAATATAGTTCATTTAAATGTTTAGCCATTTTAAAAACATCGCTTCAAAATAGTAATCCAAGGGAGATCCATGAACACAATCATTCTGCCGATAAAAATGGTAAGATTTATTTTAATTTAATAATTTACATATAGTTAGGACACTTATATATTTATGTGTTATAAATATGTTCTCAAATTTTAATTAATTAATAAATTAATGTAGCACGACAAATTATTGTCGATAACAATTTTATCATAGGCCTTGATAAGTAGGTACCTATTACTGAATTAGTAACCAATTAGTACGTCCAGAATATAATTTTACAGATTTTGTTTTATTCGACAGACGATAAAATAAATCACTATAGGACAGTGTTCCAACTTATAATTTTAATTTTCCTATAAAATATTATGTAAAATATTATACAAACAAATTTAAAAACAAATATAAAACTACAAATATTTTATGTTCGCAAGATTTCCGCCAATGAATATAAATAAGAATTGTTATTATTTATAGCTATAGCTGCCATAAAAGTTAAACAAGAAATAAAAAATAAAGCTTTATCCTCAAATGATACACCCGGCCAAATATTTTCGGAGGTAATCGGGAATCTGGATGTCGATGTTTTAGCTGAGTTACCCAAGGAAGAATATTTAAAACGTAGTATTAGATATCATCGAAGTTTTCATAATCCGAACGAACCTCAAAATATCAAAGAAATTGTTATTGATGGTAAATTTTTTTTTTTAATTATATTAATTAGAAAATAAAATCCTATACTTAACAAATTATATCTATTTTATTACAGGTGAATGGGCATTATTGGGTAATAATAGACTATTATTGAGGGATAATGGTCCAGAGGCATCTGAAAGGATAATTATATTTGCAACAGATGAACACTTGCAACTGCTTTCAGAATCAGATACTTGGTATTTAGACGGGAATTTCGGACTGTCTCCAAAGTTTTTCCTACAGTTATATGTAATACGGGTAAAAAAAAATAATGTATTTGTAACTACGATTTACTGTATTTTACAAAGGAAAACTAAAAATACATACGTAGAAATGTTTCAAATTATAATGGATGAATGTGCTGAACGAAATGTATACCCTGACCCCAAATGTTTACATCTCGATTTTGAAAGCGCAGTTATTGAAGCAGCTAAAGAAGTAATTGGTGTCCATATTGATATAAAAGGCTGCTTCTATCACTTATGTCAATCGACGTTCAGGAAAATACAAGAATTGGGCTTTGCTTCGAAATACCATAAGGATGAAGAGTTTCGAAAACAATGTGGAATGATTGATGCACTTGCATTCCTTCCATTGCACCTCGTAGAAGATGGAATGAAATATTTAAAATATAGTTTGCCTGAAAATCTTATGGATTTATTAGATTATTTTGATTCGTATTATGTAAATGGCAAGTATCGAAGAATTGGAAACGACGAAAATAACATGAGGTTTCGAAAACTGCCACCAATGTTCCCACCAGCTGTGTGGAATGTAAATAAAACCACCCTCAATGACTGCCACAGAACCAACAACATCGTTGAAGGGTGGAATAATAGGTTTTCCAAACTAGTTGGTCAAAAACATCCTACAATGTGGAAACTTATTAGGAAAATTAAAAATGAAATTGACGCCGATCGAGCACAGTTAGCATTGGATGCTTTAGGTGAACCAAGACGTACAAAAAGAGGACAAAATCAAACAATAAATATCCGCTTGAAAGAGTTAGTTATAAGACAAAGTGAAGATAAATTAAGCATTGGAGACTTTTTGACAGCTGTGTCTAACAATATAAGAAAACGAACCGACTGAACCGAATCTGACTATAATTATATACATTTATTTTATTATTAATTAACTAACTAATATTATATTATTTTTTTTTTACTTATTTTCTAATTATCTAATTTTTACTAATTTTAAAATTTTTTACTAATTATAATTATGTACTTTTTTAAATAGTTGCTTTGGGGATTTTTTTTCCGGGGATTTTTTTTCTGGGGATTTTATTTACCGGGGATTTTTTAACGGGGATTTTATTTCCGGGGATTTTTTTTCCAGGGATTTTTTTTCCGATTACCGGGTCACTGTATCTGTCCTATAGGCTATAGTAGATGTGTTAAATTACTTAAATTTGAATTCAATGATATTCATTGTATACGAAAAATGATTGAGCGAAGACGGTCTGTCAGAGACCTTATTATTAAGTATTTTATTTTATTATTTTATTATTATAGTAATACAGTATAAGTTGAATTAATTTTTTCCGAAAATATTACATAATACATTTAAAAATGCTATTGTGTATAGTGGACAGTTTAATGCTTTGAGCTAATTATTAACACAGATAACCCCTTTCGTGCATTTTTTTTGGTTATCTATTGTCTTTCTATAAATAAAGATATCTTGTATAAAATATGACGTATAGTTTTATATTACTGAAGAATGATGGCTATTGTTTGACAAAGTTTATTTATTGAAAGATATTAGATTTTTTTTTTAAGTTTAAATATTTCATCATAAGAAGATAAATGACACTTTAGAGCCTAGAGACTAGAGTCTAGATAATTAATTTCCTAAAATCTAAGATAAATTATTTTAATGATAATATGGATCTAACTACCCAACTATAAATACCATAATAAACTCTTTATTATTTCATTAATATTACTATATTAACTTTAATCCATTTAATATTTTTTTTGTTTACAACAGTTTTGTGATTTTTAAGCAATGATTGAATTAGAAATAAACTAGAAGGGAATGCAAAAGTATAAAAAATAATTTTTTTTCTCAAACTTTTTTTTCAAATTATTATAATTTTTTTTCAAAGTTATTTTCTAATAATTTTTTTTTAAACTTTTTTTTCTTCAAATTATTTTTAAAGTATTGTCAAATAATAAAGTAGCAAATTGGTAACTTATTAATTCATGGTCTACTTACATGGTTGAATAAAGTTTATTAAGTTATTTTTTTTTTCATATTTTTAATATTCTTATATCCTTCAATGTCTGTATTATAATTTTTTCTTTTTATCAATTTATTAAATTGAACTTCTTTTATTTTTAAATTTAAATATTTAATACGTACAAAAATCCTTTGTAAAATGTATGCTTTGATTATTTTTTCGGGAAAAGCAGTTTGTTTTTCCATTATTTTATCAGTTAGTGTTTAGAAATTTTTGGCTTCTCATTTAATTGTTGTTTTTAATTATAGTTATTAAATTCAGTTTCGATCAATTTTACCACTTTCATCCATTCATCAGAAGGAGTAGTCGGACCTGGAGAATATAATATTATTCCTTCTTTTATACTTAAATTTAGAGTTGGTATTGCTGGAAATAAAGTTAAATACCGGTGTAACAAAATATACAAAAAGACCTAACAAATGAGGAATAAAAAAATGATGCTAGTTCAATGTATGAAAAGAATTTCAGATTTACTTAAGTCTGAAAATTTCTAAAAAGTATACTTTGAAAAAAGTTATTTAATTTGTCATGTGTTGTTATACCTTGTATAATTAAAGTTCAAATTAATAATAATTAAAATTTATTATAATTTTAAAGACAGATAAAAATATCTTTAGAAAACTTATATATTTCACTATTTTGAACAATGTACTCTTTATAAATCTTGTGATGGTATTCATATTTATTTTTGGTAAAATATTGAATTTATTGTACAAACAAATATATGATACAGTATGTATGTAACGATTACCAATTTCCTTTTATAATGAATCTATTTAAATTCTGATTATTGGAATTTTTTAATTATTTAAATTTTTTCGTACTTCTTAATGTGTTCTGAAGTGATAAAAACTTCTGTTTTTGAAATGAGAACACTTGATTTTTCTGTAAATTTCAATGTTATTGTAAATAACATTGAAAATGTCAAGACATTTAATTTAAGATTTGAACTAGTAGGTAGTAATATACTAATATAATATTTCAATTTATTGATGTTAAAGTGTAAAATAATAATATGTACAGTGGGATTTTATATTTTAAATTAATAATTGCAAATCTTCTGTAATTGGTATATACAAACAAAAAATAATAAATTCCAGAATAGTTGCATATATTTAAAATTTCGTACTATATAAACCATGATACAAATATATATATATATATTAAAATTTATTTAATAAACTGTCATTTCATTATCTACCCCTCACCTGTTATTTATTCCCCATCCAACACGATTGAACCTTCTATTTGGCTCATAGACATATATATTATATGTCTATGATTTGGCTACTTGACGGTTTTTTGATAACAAATTATATTTTTTTTCTGATAATAAACTCAAAAAAGTTATGATAAAAATTAAAAATTAAAAACCGTGAAGAGTGAAGCCTAGGTCTAGTATATATTCTCGTAAATCGTAATAATGTGAGCATTAAGCACCTGGGGTAATAATACTATTTAGCATGTCTTGACTCTTGATTCTTCTACTATTCCAATACTCTAATTCGTAATAAAAACTAAAAACCTTTGAGTATTAAAAATTAATTTAATATTGCAGTATTGTTAATTTTAAACAGGTAACCTTCTTAAGCTTATATTTTAAATTAAAAAATAAATTGATCTTAGGTACATCCTTAAATTATATTTTTAATGATTAAAAGTGTATTGAAAAATCAACCTCACCCCCTCTTAAAAAAAACATTTTACAGCCACTGGCCTAGTTAAACTCACAATTAAATTAATCATAGAATAGATAAAATTAAAATTAAATAAAATTAATTTTGTGTTTAAATATTCTACACTACCATTTCTTAAAATTTAGCCCCAGGTATAAAGTTATATTTTAAGTGCAGTAATGAAAATAGTAAACAATAAAATGGTTACAATAAATGTGAATTTATGTAATGAGATTGCCAAAAATGCTGGCACAGGTAAAAATTTATTGCTCCCCAAATGCATTTAAAAACAGTATCCATGGTGTATGTAAATTTGTATTGCAGGAGGAGAAAACGACAACCAATACTTGTATTTGCGTTCTGTAGTCAAAATCGAGTGTGGTCAAAACGAGGGTACTGCAGTTTGTGTTCATAAGTCTGACGCTATCGGCAAACTCCTGTTTCTTACCTGTGCTCATGTTGTAGACTATGTTTGTAGGAATATTAAATGGTGGTTAATTTTTAATAAATTTCCGAAATCTTGTTTTTTGGTAGAAAATCCAATCGGTAATACTACGTTATGGTGGACGTGCAATTAAAGGTAAAGTTATATATGTTAATCGTAAGGCTGTGCCATATGATATTGCTGTAATTGTAGCTGAACAAATTAAACAAACTACAGACATTTTACCTTGTCAGATATCAGACAAGACACCATCTATTGGTAAGGCCATTATTGTATTGAATGATAAATTATTGGTTGCATTTAATAGCTTTTCCACAGGTCAAAAAATGTTTTCGGTTGGATTCCCTTGTCGAGAATATGTACCATCTACAGTTTTCGGTCACATGCACAGAATGATTTATAGCATATTGACGACCACTTGTAATGTGCGTGCAGGGTTCAGTGGCGGTCCAGTCTTTTCAATCGACAGAAAACTGTTGGGTCTCACTGTTGGAAAGTTGAACATGGGCACTTATCATTTTGTATTGCCTTCTACAGAATTTGTGGAAACTATTAACAAATATGTCACTACTAACAGTTAGTTATAGTTTTTTCATGCATATTATGATATATAATTTATAAATTAAATTATAATTAACATGGTTTTTATACTATTATTGTTCTACAGACATTGAAATACTTAATGATTTAGAATCCAAGTGCCCATTGAAAACAGCGTTATGGAACAATGGAATTCCAACTTTCAAAGTATGTCATATTTAGTTTGAACAGAAGAATACACATTTTTATTATGATTTGTATACTTTATTTGTAATGGTTTTGATCCGTGACGACTTGGCAGACCAAAGACCCACAGACCAGTTTTTTTAAGAGGCCTCTTAATAAATAGCCCCTGGCCTCTTAAGGCAAAATTGTGCCTAAAAATTACTTACGGTTAAATATTTTGATAAATACTTTGCGCCTTGCGGGGTCTCTACTTTCTATGTAAACCAGGAACACGCCAAATGAATAAAAGTTTACGAGACCCTTAGAAAAAAAAAAAACAGAGAAACCCCGGTCATATTTGCTGCCATGGCCAAGCCAACACTGGTTTTAACTTATAAACTTATTGTTACATGAAAATATTTAAAAATGGTTTACATTAGTATCTAGTGATCTAAATGGATTTTATAAAATTAATATTATTGTTACACATACAACTATACAAGGAACAAATTTTATTGTAATACAAACACAAATATGCGCAATTATTTTTATTAAATTATTTAAAAACAATAAATAAAAATAAGCACTTAATATATATTTGAGAATTTATTTTCAAAAACATTAAATTGCAAATCAATTATTTCATTATTATTTTTGTGTTTGAAATTTGAATGCAATGTATACAAATATTTATAAATACAAATATTGGTAGAGTAGTGTTAACCTACTTTTTAAGGTTTGAAGAATGGTGACAATCTGGTAAAATAACACTTTTGTATTGACTAACATAACATTCCATATCAACAGACCCAGTGAGGGGTATTCTTCATAACTACTATTAGGTAACTATTGCCTTGACCTCTATCAATTGCAGATTTAGGATAGACATATTTCAGTGGCTTTAGAAGTTTGAAGATAAGTATGGAGTACTGGATTGAATGATTTAACATTTTGAAACATATGGAGAAATATTAGGTCAGAATGGGAGAATTTTTGATTAGAATACTTGTATTTTTTTGTAAAGTTTTTTCTGGAGCTCCAAAGTTGAATACCATTTATCCGTAATATGAAACTAAAATATAAGTTTTAAAACATTATTTGTAATTTAAGTTTTTTTTTATCTCATTGGGTTTGTTTATTAACTTATCAATGTTATAGATTGCAGCAATAAAAAAATGTATGAATAATTGTAATTGCGCTTTACCATTATTTTTGCAGCATACATTTTATATAAAAATTCTCTTAGGGCTATGAAGTATATTAATATTTTAATCTTCTAACTAGATATGCAGTTGCATAGAACAATAATGAACTTCCAACATTTGGTTTCCATTGTAATTTTAAATGATAATGTCTGTAAATAATAATTAACTTATATGTTAAATCCACTAGAAATAAGATATTTATTTGCGATATAATTGATAAATATGTTATATTATACATTTTTTATGTCTGAGTGTTATTTTAATGTTGTAATAATTAATAATAATTGATATAATATAATATAAAATATTATATAAAACAAGAACATTCTTTTCTTAAACCTATTATGAATTAATTATTATTCATAACAATATTCAAAATATTTGTCGCAATAAGGGAAAAGGAGTTAAAATAATTTATTTGAAAAAAAAATACCTAGAGTATAAATGAAGTCTCTTAAATATATTAAAAAAAAATATAGTTATGCTACAGGTAAAATTATATATTTACTACTGTAACATGATATATTAATTATGTGTAATTACATGTAGTTCAATTTAAAAAAAATATGTATGTATATTTTATATGCATAAATATAAAGGGCTAAATTCCTTTTTGCAACAATTATTAATTTAGTTGAGACAAATTGTATACAAATACATAGAAAAGATTTTCAGTAATCAAAAAATTATCTTAAAAAAGTCAACAACAAAATAAATAATATGTATTATACATATTTCCAGGAGACATTAAAGAACTAGTAACCAAATTATTCCAAATACTTAAAGATTTGGATTAAATACAAAAAAAAAAAAATTAGATAATAACAATAATTCATTTATAGTAGAAACAGTTGCAGTATGTACAAAATGTGTTTATAATAATATTTATTATTTTTATTACATTAATCTGACCAACTGCTAAATGTTACGGAAAAATAAATTAATAGACAAAAAAACCATTTTAGGATTACTACAGTACTTTTATTTTATTCTTTATAATGCCTTATATAAAAGAAAACACAGGTTCTATTGTATGGTTCTTTAGACCTTAGTTAATTTCAGAAACTTAAATGATAAAATAAAAACCAGGATTACAACTGTTGATCATTCAGTCAATTTAGATAAATAATTGTTGTAACCAGTAGTTTTCAATGTATAATTAACACATTCATCTATATGACTACAACTCATAACATTTTATTTAAAACATAAAATTTAATTAATAATTAAAAATAAAGGGAATGAATAGGAAGTTTCACTCGGTATTCATGTTATATAGAACATATCTGACTAAGTAAATGAATACTGCAAAGCCGACCACTACAACACTATTGTAAACAACCGAATGAAGAATATTATTTTCAGGTTGGCTACTATCCGTGCTTGGTGACTGCTCTTCGTTAGCTCTAGCCAAATTTCGTTTTTCAATTTCATTTTGTATTGTCTATAAGCAACCAATAAAAATTATTAACAACAACATACTATGGGCTGTCTTACAACCTCGCATATCACAAGCACATATTTCAGTTTACATTTTTTGAGTTCATGTGCAACACGAAACACAGTTTTATTGGTGAGCAGTGTATGAACCTAAATAATGTACACTTAAAGGCAAGCAAGGATGTCAAACGGGCCTAATGGCATATTTGCAAATGTTACCTTGGTAAGTTCAGGAAATAGTTCACAGAAATGTTCGTCACGCACATTTGACTCTAAGCTTTGAGCAGCCAGTTGACGCCTCTCGTAATCAGTCATCTCTATGCTACCCATTGTAGGGCTATTCTCCAGCTAAATTAAATTATACAAACACATCATAAGCATGTTTTTTTTTTTTAAATATATAATTTATGTTATTACCATAAAGCTTAGCAATCCAGTGAGTATAGTCGATACGCTCCATGCTGGATTCCATGTATCTGGATGGTAATCACTTATGGACAAACACAGGCGGGTGTTAGTTTTAAATCTGCCATTTGGCGTAACCATGTAAATGCTCGGCGGCTTAAATGGAAAATCTCTAGGGAAAACTAGCCTTCCCAAGTAATAACCGCCAGCATACGGTGAATCGTCAGGTCCACTAACTACATAGTACCTGAATGACACACAGATCGGTTTTATTGAATGATTAGGTAATAAATAATTATTAACTGATGCACACATACCATTCCAATATGTTAGATGGATTTGGCTCGGCGATAACATACGGCACGGGATCATTTTTTAGTCGTAGGTAGTCTTGTTTCAAGCGAAGTGTAGCCGATGACGTTTTGGGTGCCATTGTTCTTTCGTTTCACTTATGTGTCTATTTTATACAAAACAACAGTACGTAAACATTAGTAGATGACAACAATTTATGGAATACCTACGTGGTATGTATAAACACTGCAAATTAATTTGTGTACGCTTCAAAAAAACGTGTTATGATCATAATTAATTTAAAACAAATAGGTTTTAAATACTTGTAATACAGTACACACAATACTTATTATTTTATTGTATAAAAAAAGTTCAAGTCTTAAGAGTTAAATGATCGGGAATTAGGAATTATGATAGGTAGAACTAAAACATAATATACTATATAGTATATACAATATCATGATGCACATTTTGTATAAACACAAAACAAATTGATAATATTGATAAGAAAAAGTCATCATCAATCGGCCGCAAAAACTTCACAAAATCACAACATGTCACGTGACAATATGACAGTGACGACCGCGTAATTAATATTAAGAATTAAGATATTTAGAATTTTAGGTATTTTAGGTATTTTATTCTTAGATATTATAACACTATATATTTTACAAATTATTATTATAAATATTTCTTTATAGTTTAATCGTGGCTACGATGACCACGTCTATAGGCTTAGTCCAATGTCCTTAGATCACATTATGAAATCACATTATTCTTTTACTATGAATGGACCATGAACTATAAGATAATATGGAAGTTCATAAAGTTGATATAAGCTTATGAAATAGACCAGGGGTGGCGAACCTATGGCACGCGTGCCAGAATTGACATTTTGGCCAAATTTCAATGGCACAATTAAAATATTTTTCTTGGAATATTTCATAATATTTTGTCTGTATTTCATAAAATAAAAGTTAACAAATAAACGTGTAATAACATGTCAATAGTAATTATTGCTTACATTCTTTTATTCTCAGTAAAAATGCCTTTTTCGGGGAAGGGGGCACTCAATTATATATTTAAAATGTTGGTACTTGACCCGAAAAAAGTTCACCACCCCTGAAATATAGACCCATGCCGCCGGTGGTGTAGCCCGGAATATGAAAGGGTGTGAGGGGCGTTAAATAAAACTAAGTTTGTACAGTTTTCGTTTTTACTCCCCCTCCTGGTTACTCAGCAGTGGCTAGGGTCTAGAGTCCCGATAAGATATTAAGATGCATACAGCATTACAGAATATCTATGACAACATTTAGTCATGTGCATCCCCAAGGGGGGGGGGGCGAAGGGGCGTTCGCCCCTGCTATAACAATTTTTAATATATATATAATTACTATTATGTCAACAAAATTAAAATGATCAAAATGATTAATACATAATATTATTCTTTATTATTATTAATATGTATGATAAAATATTCCATTGTATAATTGTATTTATTTATTATTATTATTATTATAAATACGTATAATATATAGATTTTAAAAATAGATTCGCCCCCCCCCCTTGAAAACTGTCTAGGGACGCTCCTGTCCCTATATAACTACTTAATTATAATTTCTTTTTTTTGTTTAAGGCCTTTTAGACCACATGTCACACACCCAAACGTAACTGTCTCTACCCTTCACGATTTTCGGCCAACATAATATGCCAATCTTCGTCCAGGTAAAAGTCTGCTACAAGTGGCTACGTCTCTCTTCACAATAATCCTCCTATGGCATTCCTATTCCTCCCGAAGGTCTTTTCCCTCTTGTATTCTCTTGTAGAACAGTCTACTATGGTTTCAGCGGTTTCCTCAACACATGACCTGCCCATTCCAATCTTTTCCGTTTTTTCTCATTTACTATACCTGGTCTGTTATATAAGTCACATACAGCTCATCATTATGTCTTTTACGCTATATGTGAGTCACGGCAGGGTCCAAATATCCTTCTTAATATTTTTCTTTCTAAAATCCTTAGTCTTGACTGCTCACTGCAGTGATCAGTTTTCCTTACATCAATCCAACATTGCGCTCCGTACAGTAAAATAGATTTTATTAAAAATGTCGAAATTCGTGAGGGGTGTGGTAAAGCGCATTTGTTCCACAATTTTAAATATAAATACATTTTTTTCAAATTCCAACCTTTAAAGTAAAAAATATAGTTAATTTTCTTGTTATATTGATATGAGAATTACTATTATATATTACTTAGGTATTTTGTATCTTGTGTTAAACATCCAATCTACAATGATATAATACAATGATGTATTATGTAATATGTAAAATGTAACATTCTATCACGACTAGTTACCTAAATGAGTTAAATGTGGTAATCTGGTAAGTAGGTATGATAAAATGTATACATTTTAATTAAATAAAAATAAATACATTCATAACAAAAAAAGAAGTTGAGCTATGTCGGTGACAAAAGGTTTCTGTATTTTAGTCAAGTAAAATGCTCAAAAATATATTTTTATTTCATTCGGATTTGTTAGGTTTTGTTGATAATTTAAAAACACGCGCCTTAATTTAATGATATCTGACCATATTTTCTATACCGCAGAATATTTTTTTACTCCATGAGCTATGTTTTGTTGTCCGACCCCTCTCCCACCAATTCACTATCTTTCGTTACACGAGGCAGAGAGGCATCCGGAGCCTCGATCACGATTCACGGTCTCATTTTCAGAACGTATCGTGACATACGGAACATCCATCCGTATTTCATTTTTTAATTTACGCGTGGCGCTTTGGTAAGTACTTGATAGATTTTAAATATTATTCTACACGACTGTTAACTATTATTCTATTTTAATTCAACCAACTCTCCTTGTTTACTGAGCAATCGATGGCTTAACGTTCAAACGTTCTGGTTGCTCACATTTCAAGAATTTCAACAGAATCCTACACATGGTTTATGTACAAAGAATTTCGTATTTGATCCAAATCGATTTCGGTTTAAATTATTATTTATTACGATCACTTCTTAACGGTGTTCTTGTGGTCACTGTTAGATTTTTATATTATGCAGCTAAAAAAAGAAAGTAGAAAAGTCTAATAAATCGTGTCGTAACAATAAAAACATAACCTAAAATATTTAATACTTGCCCATTCCTTGGATAATTAAAATTTTTTTTTTTGCCGGTTTTAATGTTACTTTAAAGTTAACTACATTTTATTGTTTTGGTTTTTAGTTCTTAAACGTATTAACATCTCTACACCACAAGATGGGTAGAGAGGACAAAGCAACTTGGAAAGCTAACTATTTTGTGAAGTTGGTGGTATGTTGTATATTGTATTAAATAACAACTTATCAACAACTTTTTGTTTTAAAAAAATTTTTTTTTCTTTTAGAATTTACTTGACGAGTTCCCAAAATGTTTCATCGTGGGAGCCGACAATGTGGGTTCAAAACAGATGCAGCAAATCCGCATCAGTCTTCGTGGAAATGCCGTCGTATTGATGGGCAAGAACACAATGATGAGGAAGGCAATAAAGGGCCATATCGACAGAAATCAATCTCTTGAAAAGTAATTCTATCATTGTTAAATAAACATAAATTAACTATAAACTCAAAATTGTTTATGATGATAATTATAACTGAGAGTAGAGTCTTAACGTGTCAAAGCCAGAAATGGCTGAACCCATTGATACGGACAAAGCTTATTGAAATTTAATGCTTAATTGCAGTCTGAAACTAACATATTTTAAGAATTGTTAACTATTTGTACTATTATAATTGATTAATTTGACTGTTCATTTTTATTATGGTTATAGTAACTATGATGAAATAATTTAGACTTAAAAGATCAATCGTTAACACATCAAAGCCAGAAATGGCTGAACCCATTGGTGTGGATTGGTTTTTATTGATGTCAAATGCCTTAAGGCAGTCTGATTTACTATAACATAATTTTGAAATTCATAATCTTTTTATTTAAAACAAATTTTTTTAATTAAATATTTATGTACTTATTTTAGGATCATGCCTCACATTAGAGGAAATGTAGGATTTGTTTTCACTCGTAGCGATTTGGTTGAGATCAGAGATAAGCTTTTGGAAAATAAAGTCCGTGCTCCAGCTCGTCCTGGTGCTATTGCCCCTTGCCCTGTTGTTATTCCCGCCCAAAATACTGGCCTTGGACCTGAAAAAACTTCTTTCTTCCAGGCGCTGTCTATTCCAACCAAAATCTCTAAGGGAACAATTGAAATCATTGTAAGAAAATTAATATGCTTGTAATAAATTTAATTTATTATACTTACCACACTTTTTAAATGTTTAGAATGATGTGCATATTTTAAAAGAAGGTGACAAAGTAGGAGCTTCTGAGGCAACCTTATTGAACATGTTGAATATTTCTCCATTTAATTATGGTTTGGCCGTACAGATGGTATATGATTCTGGAACTATCTTTGAACCCGAAATCTTAGATATCAAGCCAGAAGATTTATTGAAGACCTTCTTAATTGTAAGTAAAAATTATTACTTACCCACATTAAACTGAATTTAAGTTCTTATCAACTGTCAGTTTTCTTAAAATTTATTACAGTAACTAACATGATGTATACTTAGACAATTTGATATGATTTTATTCTAAATTTAAGAAATCTCGAAAAAAAATCTACTTTATATTCCTTATGTTTTAGTGGTTATAAAGTTTAGTACCCATATTACCCCCCCCCCCCCCAACCTGCTAATAACCGTATACACTTTTTTTATTGATTGAACATGGTGGTTTTATAGCTTTGTCGAACATCAACTGAATACATTATATTTGTTATTTCAATCGTACATTGCAAATGGAACTCTTTTGTTGCACATGTACTTGATAAAGATACGGAACCACCACTTTTTATCCCATTGAAATCTTAAATTTCATGTGAACATTTATGAAAAATGTTTTTAATTTTCCGTTTTTTTTTCTAATAATGAAGAAAATCATTTTAAAATTATGGCTGTAAGTTTTTTCTCTGTCCTACAAACGTACAACAGATCTAGCTATTTTGCATTAAGTATAACAAATACATATTATTTTGTTAGTTTAAGTATTGAGTAAATTGAATGCAAGTTATGAGTTATATAAAATTAAAACACTTGTAATTAAAATAACAATAATATAACATAAGTCAATGCTCTTTCCTTTAAGGTTGAAAATAAATCAATTACTTATTTTTAAGTTAACAACACAGTTGAAAATTGGTTATATTGAACTCAAATTTGATTTTGCATAATATTTAAGACTGAGACAATATATGTGGATACAACGTTCTCTTAATTTAAAAAATAGTTTTTAATTTTAGTTATTGATGTAATTTGCCTAACATAAAATGTTAATGATGATGATTCTTAATTACTATTTTTGTCTTCTTTTCCCGTCAGAAGATATTATGTTGATAATTAAAATCTGAGTTAATTTGTAGACTACTGCATCATTTTTAATAACAAATCAAAAGTATTTTTTACAAGTAATCAATGTTAAGTTTTTAATCTTGGGCTTTAAATAATTTATTATTATTAGATTAATCTCAAAACTTAAGAATAATATAAGTAGTTAAAATGCCTGATGGTGGCTTAATAATTTCCAATTTAAATACAACTATTAACTTATGTCTATATTTTACAGTTTCTTAAATAATGAGATTTATTTTGGTATTTCTATACATTAAAATATTACAGTTACTCGATTTTGGGTGGCGCATAACACCAAAGTGATATAAAAAAACTGCAATAACCTGGAAAAAGCTTTTCTGCGTGTCTGGCCCTATTGATATTTTTTTGGTATTAGGTTTTAATTTTTTATAAAAAAAAATATTTGAATGAAAATTAATTATGATGATTTACTTTTATTTTGTCTTCTTTTCCCGACAGAAGATTTTATGTTGATACTATAAATCTGAGTTAATTTGTATGAAATAATAGTAAATTATTAAAGATAATTTAAATTCTATTCTTCAGGATAGGGATAATGATGGTTAAATCGGTAGTGACAACATTTCATCAAAAACCGTCATTATGTTAACTTCTCCTTTTGTAGTTTGGCCTCCCCCGGGTTAGAGGCAACAATATACAAGCTGTACTCTGTGCAAGCTCTTAACGGCTTCTCTTAATCATTAAACTAATGAATTCATTATATTCAAATATTTCATAGTTTAAAAACTAATTTCCTATTTTAGTAACAGATATATGTGAGCATTTCTATTTTATATCATTTTATTGTTTGATTAATTTTATAATATAGAGAGTATCATCCTCTAAACAATTAATATAAAATACATGTAAATACAACTATGTTATATTTTTAATAGGGAGTATCACAAGTAACAGCTGCTTGTCTTGCAATCAGCTATCCAACTGTTGCATCTGCTCCTCACATGTTGATCAATGGTTTCAAGAACTTAGTTGCAGTTGCTGCTGAAACTGAAATTGAATTCAAAGAAGCTACAACTTTCAAGGAGTACCTTAAGGTAATGAAATGAAAAATTATATTTTTGATGAATACAAAACTAATTATTTATTTAATTCCAGGATCCATCCAAGTTTGCTGTTGCCGTTGCAGCTCCTGTAGAAAGTGCAGCTCCAACTAAAGAAGCCAAGAAAGAAGAAAAGGTAGAAAGTGAAGAAGAGGAAGACGATGATATGGGTTTCGGTCTATTTGACTAACTTGTTCATTTTATAACTTTCAACTGAAATAAAAATTATTATAAAACAATGGTTCATACATCAATATTTTTTACGTCTTGAAAACCACAATAATATGTAGTTAGATATATTTTAACTGGCAATAAACCAGTTATTAAGTTTAATACAAGTTAAAACTGGGACGTTAAAAGTTGTATCATTGTATACTTCACTCGGGTGGTATTTCTGTAGTCTTATATTCATTCTTTTGCTACCTCAATCTGAATATTTTAGGGTAGGTGAGAGTGAGTTTGCTTTCAGCTAATATCTGCATCACTAATTACTGAAAAATACTAAAGCAAATCAAGCCTAAAATATTAAAAGTATTTTTTTTTAATATATAGAACATTTCATTATAATATGTTTTTGTTCTGTTAAATAAGTAGAAAATAATAAAACTATATATAATTATTTAAATATAAAACAATTTGGCTTGTCAGCGGTGTAAGGTGAAATATGATACAAAATCCCACCAAAGTAATGCTCATATAAATTTAAAAATATTAGTAATACATTAGCGTGGTTTTTAATGATCATTTATTCAAAATGTCAAAATAACATATATTGAGAATATTTTGTTCTTCAAAAGCTTACAACATTTTATACAGGGTTTTTCATAACTGTTACTGAAGCTCAAACATCTCCAAAATACAAATTACTATAGTTATATTATTATGAAATAACCATATAGACCAGTGGTTTTCAATTTGTGTGCCGCGAGAAATGTCATACATGACGTATAGGCGTGTGGCGATAGTTATTGCCTCCGCCAAGTTGCTGTGGTTGTCAAGCGTGTAAGTGTGCCGCGATAACTTGTGATGTTTAATAGTATGCCATGAACCAAAAAAGGTTGAAAACCGCTGATATAGACTAATTATAGCTTGTACTCTGCAGTCATAGTATGTGGTCCTCGGATAGTTCTAGAAAATTAGCAAATCTACAAAAAATCACAGCCGGTGTGAGTGTGCTCCATTAATGAGTATATATGAAACATAAAGTATACTTTAAAGTCTGCAATGTCAAATATTTTAAATTTTAATCCAATAGTAACTCAATAGTCATTGATACGATAGATGATTTTAAGTGTCGATTGAAGACTATTAGTAAGTGTATTTAATGCAAGGTCTGGAACCATAATACCGAATAGCCCGGTTTTGAACCGAAAAAACTTGGGATTGGTTCCTTAAATACATTTTTTAGAAACCGAAACCCATATTTTGACCAAGAGGTTTTTTTGGTTCCTATATCCAATAGGTAGATATTTCATATTTTCATCAATAATATTTTGTAGTAGGTTAATAATAATAACAAATAATTATAAAATCATAGATCTATAAAAGTTTATCAATACGAAAACATAAAAATATTGTTATGTCTACAACAGAATCGTCATAAAACAAATTCTAATTTACATTTAATCAATAATAGACCCGATACTTGCGTAATGCGTTCAATTATTATTCGCAATACCTGTTGTAGATCGTAGATTTTCGGATGCTAATAATACTTCATTATTATTTCTGAAACTAATAAAAATGTGTGCGTTCTTATTGTTTCAGAGTAAGTTGTCAATTTGTCAAATAATTAAGTATTGTTACCTAACGTTTTAACTTAATGCCTGTTGTCATAATATATACAGATCGGCACCGATGCGGTCAGGACATTTGCGGTCGGCATCTTTTTCGTGCCATTTGCGGTCAATTTATTTCTATTTACCTGATTATAATATTTGGATGTCATATATAATATAGGTATATAAATGTATTGTGTACTTAATTTGTGCTAATAGGTATATATTTACCATTTTTTATTATATTTAAACTTTCCTTCACACTTTTCAAGGCCTAAGGACTGACAGTATTTTTTACTGACGTGTTTAAAAGCTTATTATTATTATTATAAATAACTCATATAATAATAATATATTTGTCAATGGTCAATCACATTACATAATAGGGTACTAATTTTTTTTTAAACCTTATTAAAATTATTATAAAAATTTACATAATAATACATTTGTCGATCACATTACATATAAGCATATGATACTGATACTATTGTTCTGTGCTAAATGCTAATACTAACATACCTTACTAATAAACATATGTACATAAGCATAACCTTATTCTATTTTTTTAAGAATTCGACTAAATCATTATCTCATATTCTATTAATGTTTATTGTTTTTTAATTCTTTCGTCCAATTGTATTTACATTCCAAATTATCAGCCTCTTTTTTAAGACAGCCATACAAATTCTTAAACGTTGATCGTTGTATATTTAATATTTTATGAAGTTAACTATTCCAACCCTAGAGGATTACCTTTAGTTGTATAAATTAAATAATTATAATAATAAACTTTTTAAACACATTTTCATAATATAATATGTATTTAGAATATAGTATTATATACAGCACCTTAAATTGTATAGTCAGGTAAATAGAAATAAATGACCGCAAATGGCATGAAAAAAAAGCCGACCGCAAATGTCCCGGAACCTAATATTAAATACCAGATGTGGGTATAATTAATTCTGTACGACTGTACTACTGCATTGAACTATTGAGTCTACTGAACTGTTCTCCTGTTACTGATAATATTGTCAAACATTTATAAGTTATAATATCAAACTTGAACATGGGTCACCCAAGTGTGTCAAAAATTTGGTCAGTAAATTATTGAATAAAATAGTATATTTTTTATAGTTTTAGAATTCATTTATCGTAATGATATATTACCTAAATTCTGAAGTAGGTACACTTAATTACAAATTCCTGTTAAATAGAGCTTCTGAATAGTCAAATTTATAAACAGTAGGTACTTAATTGATAAAAATAAAATAAGGGTTAAACCTACATTTAACCGAAACCAAATATTGGGTTTTTGAGAACCCGAACCGATAAAATCATAAGGTTCTATAGTTGTTGGTTTAATGATATATTTATAATGCTATTAAAGTGCCTACCTAATTTATTTTACGGTATAAAATCAACGTACAGCTCAAACTATTATAGCTAGAGAGTAGAGACTGCGTTTAATTAGTTTTGCCTCGTAGTACCACTTAGAATATGAAAATATTTTCCAAAGTTTTCATTTTATAGAGGTGATCAATCAAAGATTTTGGTTCACAATGGAAGTCGAATTTTTTTTCGTCCCCATTGGTTACAGATTATAACAAAAAAGTAGAAATTAGTATTTTTTTGTTCATAAATCGGTCCCAAATTGTTTTTATCATTGCCCATTGGAACACTGCAACTGATGGGAACACAAGTTCTTTGTGTCTATCACCTGTTGATAATACCCCTCAAGTGTGCGGTTGTATTCGCATACATTGAGTTTATCTGCTGAACCAAATGCACTAAAATTTGTTTTAAATGCGTAGTCCGCGTAGTTCGTGTATTCAGTCACTCAGATGACGTTGAGTATGATTCGGTCTTGTAAACGGATTTATCAATATTTTTCAGAAGACCTTTTGTAAGGTCATTGGGTGATTAAAAAAAAAAAACAAAATGTAAGCAAATACAGGTAACATTAATATATAAATATTATATATACTCATATAACACATACTATGTATGTATGTTATGAAATACGTCTTTTATTATATATATTTTTTAATAAATCTATTTTAGAACACAAAAGTAATATCTTTAACAATGGTAATAAAGTGAGAATAACACTTGCAGGGTGCATTCTGTTTAGATTTTGTATACAAACGATAAGACGCGTACTTATACCTAGGTATATATTATGTCCTATAATATAATATAAATAAATATTTAATATGTATATAAAAAAAAGAAAAAATGATTATTACGCCGTATTTATTATTTTTAAATGCAATGTAATTAACTTAAAATCAAGTTCACTTTATATAAAAACATGGGGGTTTATATACCGTAATAGAAAAATACATAATATTATATTGTACTAGTTACAGAGCTATTTGAACAAAATATATATGCTACTATATACCTATATAGTAGTAGTATAGTACATTCCAAATACTAATATTATCTTCTACGTTGGCACTTGTCATTATGATTCGGACTAGATAGAGTGATATAGATACCAATAAGATACCTATATCATAATATAATATCATACTCAAAAATATTGTATTCTATTACGTCAAACAAATTACATTATTCAGTAATCAAGCACTCGGATGCGGTGGCACGAAAGCAGAACCTACGTACCTACTTACCCATAGTGGGTTAATATTGTATATGGCATACAGTCAGTGGTGTATCCAGGGGGGTTGTACCCCCCCCCCCCAAACAATTTTATAAATAAATCATTTTCAGGAAAAATTTGTCAAAAATTAATTTTCAACCCTCCTTGCTCAAAAAATAAATCTAGATACGCCACCGCATACAGTCACACATTATTATTATACATCGTATATAATCAAATAGGTATAAATGTATATAAATTAAGTAGGCACATATCTTACGCCTAGTATCTAATAATAAAATACGAGCAAATTTGATTTATTCGCAATGGATTAAAAAATCTAAACGTAACTCTCTTGTTTCGACGAAAACAAAAGGAATGAGTCCAGCAGTCTCGGTTCAATCAGTTCTGCGGCGTCGTATTGGTTCATTATTTCTTTGCCACAATTCGCAGCGATTTTCCGCAGCGAAGCCTATAAACAAAACAAATCACAATAGTTATTAAATTATAAGAATATATATATATTATGCACTTGTGGGTAGACATGTATGTAGTTAAAATAGCGCAATTCAACACAAACGTATATAATATACGTATATAGTTAGCAGTCGTCATCAAAAATATAGACATCGTTATTTTGTTCGATTGTGTTATATAAGAGTATTATTCCCGACGATGATTCAATACATTGCATAGTGTATTCCATATTATATTATATTAGACATTTAGGCATTAATGCATTTATGCAGTTCAGCGAAATTTTGCAATTTGTTTTAAACCGCGTGTGTTTTGACAGGGCGTAACGTTATTGCCTATATATTTTGACGATTAATACAGTTTCGAATCTAAACTCAAATCAATGTTACACTCGAATCGAGTAGGTATGTAAATGGTTTAAATGTTGGCTACACACATTGAATAGGTATTAAAATAATACAAAAATAGGAAATGTTATAACGTAATTAAAGTATATAGCACGCTACTAGATATTTTTCCTCTGCAATGAAAATTAAGGAATCATAGATATTTTTTTGATTGTAGTGCAGCACTGCAGTGAAAAAATATCTATTTTGTTAAGAATTGAATTAAATTAAATTTTATTTGTTCTTATTGTTAATTCACGTTTCTATAACAAAGCGTTACAAAAATCAGTTAGAAATTAAAAGTTGTGCTCTGTCCAAAAACATATCTTCTTATGTCAAAAAAAATATTTTTTTAATTTAAATTCTTTCAACATTTCTGATTTTCGAAACTAAAAAGGCGGGGACGTGGATATCACCCTGCTGTATAGTGTATAGTTCCAAGTGGGTCACTGGTCACTGTAATGAATGGTGTTAAATTTGAATTCAAAGATATTTGAATATAAGGTTATTTAATTAATATTTTCGTCCACATTTGAACATAAGACTATGAAAAAAATGATGAGCTAATATATTTTCAGATTTTTTGGTTACGGAATAACCTACTTACGTAAAACCTTGTTTTAAATTTTCAACCCTTAGCTATAAAGGTTGAAAATTAAAAAAAAAGTTAACCATACAATTATTTGTAAATTTTGAATTTAATAAATGTTGTCAAAATTTGAACTTTAAATGCTTATAAAGTTATAAATGCAAGGTGATGACAGAAAAAAAAACACACATCATTGTAAAATTAATACATTTATCGCTCGGCTCAGAATCTAAAATACTACACCCTGATTAGAAATTTAGAATGCTGTATAGTGTTGATCAATTCAATACAACTTCAATTTTATTATATTATCGTGTAAATAGTTACATAATCTAAGAATTAAAATAGTAAACAAATACATCACTAGTTATGCAGTATATTTATTTAACCTTTTTGTTATTTTTAAAGATTGTGCGATATTTTATGAAATTTTAACTATAGATATTAAAAAAAAAGTGCATTAAAGTTTTTTTTGCATTTTATTGCAGCAGTAATTTTGGTATTTGACATTGATGACGATTTGACTGTTTCTTATAAATTTGAAAATTTATAGAACCCTTATGATTATGTACTTGTGTGGTAGTTACACTAGACTTTTTTATGTATATGGAGTAACTATATTACATTCCATGGTAATTGTGATTTGTGTGGTACACTAAAACGGTTTTACGCAGATACCTGCAGATGCCACGGTCCAAAAAAGGAATCTCTAAATTACATAGTGTTGCAGTATACACACACGAAGTTACACTTAAAGTTATATAATTTAAAAATATGAATCTTATATATGTATAGGTACTCACTAAGCACGCCACTAGAACACCGTCACTGTGATTTCGTTCTCGTTCGTCTTTGCACAACCTTATCAAACGGTTAACGCCTTCGAGTTCCACGAATTGTTTCGACACTTCTACGTCACTGCACAGTCTACAATCATAAAATAATATTATAATTAACCGATGAATGACGATCGTTGTAGAATGTTGATATAGCTAGGTAATATGTAAATCGTAAGTTATAGAGCTTAAATATATATTTCAGGGGCGTCACTCACGATACCCCGCAGGTCGCAGGGAGCAATTAATGCTTTATATCGAACCACATATTACCTAAGTATACCTATGAAAGTATAGGAGTTTAGCACATTATGTATTTAGAGTTAGTCAGATAGATGATAAAATGAATATGCATTTGGGTATTCTCTTGGAACTTTCGTAAATTAAATCTGGTTGTATTTACTGTACGTAATTTAAAACCGAGGGTGCTAAACGTGAACCCGGGGGTGCTATATTGTTGTTTTGCTAATAACTCTATGATTTAGAAGTTATAGATGCTACATCATATCTTATTTTCCAAGAGTGTTTATTGCAATAATAATCATTATGTATGTAATTTAAATACAACAAAATAAACATTTTTTAACTTAATAATCATTTTTTAATTAAAAATTAATAAAAAATTTTTAATTAAAAACTTAATAAACATTTTTTTAACTTTGTGACTTTTATTAAAAAGTCGATTATGAAAGTTAGAACGAAAAACGTTGCTTTTGTAGATTTATTGCGTGTAGTGTGGTGGAGCGGCCAAGCACAGTATCAATATTGGGTTTTTAATTTTTTTATAAAATAATAAAATGTTCCCAGAATGCATAATATAGAATAGTTGATGATATCAGTGGTCTAGTCTGATTTGTGTACATATTATATTATTTATAGTCTACATTGTTTAATAATAAAGTCAACCAAAACCAGGAATTTTTGCAGCATTAAAGTCTCATACCATTTTACGTCATTCTGGTGGTAGGTACATGCGCACTGTACAATAATAATAATAATAATAATAATAATAATATAATACCTGGACAAGGCGATGGCTGTCTTGTGCTGTAGACGTTCCGCGGCCAATATCTCGGGAACGCGTTGCAACGGCGAGTGGCGCACTTGCAGGAAACACAGCAGAGCGATCACCGCGTGGTTGGCTGCCATGTGCGGCCTGGCCTCGGGGACCGCAGCCATGTTGGCCAAGAGAGTGGCCGTTTGCTCTTGCAGGAACACCGACGACTTGGTGCCGTTCTTCCGGACAGCTTCAATCAGCGACCCGGCGGTGCCCATGTTCAATATCGTCCATATCGCGTTCGGTTCCATGAACGTGATGTTAGCCAGCGCGGCGGACGACAACAACAGCGTTTCCGACGACCGCGTGGTATCCACCAGGTCTGATGGTTAAGAAGAAAAATAATCGGTCAATATTGTTTATATACACCTACTGCGAAACAGTAATGATCAGCGTAGCCGGTGACTTACTCGTCAACGAGGATATAATAGTGTCCAGGTATTCGCTGAGCCCGTTGACGACGTGATTGTCTTCGATCCAAGGAGCGGTGATCTGAGCCAACACCGATACGGCGTCGGTGAGTTCTTTTTCCGAGCGGTTTTTACTACCCAATATGTCGGATAATATCTCCACGCCTCCGGCCTAAAAATTAAAACAGAAGTATATAATTATATGCATACATATCATATTTATTACGTAATATTTTATCACATTATACGCGTAGGTATAGGTATTCAAAATACAAATATATTTAATTATATCATCACAGCGCCTACAGGTTACGTTGGGTCTTGGGCAAATATGTAAGTAATCAGTATTTCATTTGACGTCGGTTTTGATTACACACAAAGTGATACAATAATTATTGTTTTATTTGGGTACCTACCTTTTCGAATTGTCTGATGCTGTCCGACGAGCAACACACCATGGCCAGTGTGCGCAATGCAGCTGATCTGACTGTACTAGACGCGGCTTCTATGCAAACAGTCAACAACGATCGGACACCATTGCACTTCGTCACCAAGCTACCGAGATGAACACTTTCCAATCCGAGGCTGTTGATACTGGACATGGTCTTAACAAGCTCAATATCAGTACTTGGTTCTTCCAATATGTCCACCAAAGACTAAAAGTTTAATCAAATAGTGTTAATTATTGTTCGATGAAAATAATCCAAACTCCAAAGCTTTAAATTATCACGATCTATGTATACCTGTATTTTTTTCATTAACAGAGCGTCGATTAATTCACTGAATATTTGTCCTAGTGCGGAAACGTCGTTTAGAATAATCTTTCTGTTTCCTAGACGTCGGTTAGCGTGGATTCTTAGTTTCTCGGAAACATCTACCAAGTCCATGCACAACTCTTGGCCGTGCTCAGGAAGTTCACTCTCGTGATCACAAACGAAGTCCAACAACAGACCAGTTAATGTATGGACAGATGATCCAAAATTATCAACTGGACATTTGTTCAGATCACTAAAAAAAATATAAATAAATTATCGTACGAAGAATAGGGATCTATAAACAAACTAAATAATAGAACACATACTTGTAAACTTTTATAAATTCATCAGATATACATTTTGTACGTTGATAAAGGTCCCGCACAACTTCAGAATCGGTGCAAACAACTGTAGACAAACGACACACATCTTCTGAAGTTGCTATTGATTTCGATTGTAAAGTGGTCATACATTCAGGTTCGCATCTAAACCTCAGTTCATTTAGCCACTGGCCAACGGGCACTTCTTTTTCACGTTCGATTCTGGAGAACAATAATATGATAAACGTATAGAATATTTTAAACATTGGTATTTTTAAATGTAATTATTAAACATTAATAGAAATTAAAATTTGAAAGATTAATTTAAAAGTTTCATCAATATGGATAAAAAAAAATAATAATAACTAGATACGTATATATAAAAACGTTATTAATGAAATAAAAAAAAAATATTGAAAAATTTGATTTGGTAATATTAAACATTAGGTAATCGATCACTGATAAGTTATTCAGATTTCAGAGGATAAAACAATAGTACCTAGCTAAATATATATTTGCTCGAGCGTATATAATTTAATAATAACGTCATATACCATATACCTAATGTCCCTATACACAATATCTATATATAATATTTATATAGGTACTGTACTACGCAGTACAATGCACATTCTACTATTTTAGACTATATCTAACTTTAGAGATTAGACACTAGATAGTATATCTATTATGTAATTGTATTATGATTTTGGTATTAAAAACTAACCGGCAAAAGCTATCTTTTAGATGTTTTGGTTTTCTTAGTTGTAGATCTTTTCTATTATGTAACCTGGGAGTACAACATCTGTTCTTGGTCGATTTCGGTGTAGACGTATGCTCAGGTGAGCCCGGTCTGTCGGATTCACATAGACTCACTGTGTCCGCATCGTTAAGACGGTCGACAAACGGTGTAGGTGGGTCGATAATCAAATCGTTATTTTTGTTACAGTCCTGTTTAATGTTTTCTACAACAGTAACGTTTTCTGACTGATCGAAATGGCCGTCAAAACTTTTCACCGAACTCGGAGTCGACAGTACTGCGCCGGTTTTTGGTAATTCATCAACGATAAAACACGTTCGGTTGGGCGTGCGCGGTTCTTCCCCGTACCTTTTTGTCGCCGGTCTGAACGGTGACGTTTCCTCAGCGGTGACGTACTCGATTGAACGGAACTTTCTGGACAATTCGCATGCAGGTAGAAAACAATTGCAATGATTGGGCGATTGTGGATGGGGTTCGCAAGGCGACGACACCCTAGGAACTGGTGCTTCGGGTAACACTCCGTCTGGCAATTTGTCGGTAAACGCATTCGTATTGTCCTGTTGCTTGTCTTCTTTCGGCAGAGCTTTCGACAATCCTAAGGGGCTACTCTCGGAGTCCGAAAAACCGGAGTCCTGTGACTTGTGACTACCGTTGCTCGGGCTACCGGACAATACGCGTCTGCTCTCGGGCGACGAAGATGGTTGTCGGCGCCACGAGTGATGAATATCTTCATCGTCGTCGTCCAAGTTGGGGAACCACACCTTGCTACGAGTCCGTTGGAAGTCAGTCATATTATTTTTGCTCATTGGACCTGAAACAAAATATTGACCTTATTATATTAGAGTAGAGAAAACATTTCATCACAAGTGATGATCGTATCCTATAGTAATGAACCGAGTGCAAGTAACTACTGCAGCATACACAATTGTGTGCATGTTTCAACTAAAAGTTCAAGTACATTAATTGTTGTTCGATTAAAAACCATCTGCAGTTTAAGTTTTTATATTTTTATCAATGTTAACATTTTAAATAGTCATTATTTTAGTTATTTAGTCATAAAACACACAGTAGATGTATGGGCGAGGGGGGTATTCGAAAGTCAATGATACATATTATATTTTGATATAAATTTAATTTTGTAGGATACTTTGTAATTTTAATAATGGAAGTATAATGAAGACATAATAAATTACCTATTATCATTTTCAAATATAAATTTTAGATACTTCAATTTGAGTTTTAATCAATACTAGGTAGGTAGGTACCTAAAAAATATTAAAATAAAATTCTTAAAATTGTACACTTTAAAAAAAACGTTTAAGAGTATTGTCTAGTTAAAATTGATTTTGTTTGGCGATTCGTTGAAAACTGTAATTGTATTTCTGACGACAAGAAAATTTGTTATAAGTGTATATCTATTTAAAAGGTTTCTTTGACCTACGATGTGTAAAATATAGCTAATATATATATATTATCAGTTACCATTATACCAATTATTGTTAGTAGCTAGAATAGTATAGGAAGTAGGCACATCTAATAAATATTTGTATGCTATTTTAACATTATATTAAAATATATCAAAGTTTATTAATTATATCACCTTTAAATTATTTAACATAAAACGTTAGTAATATTCATACACTTTATACACCCAAGACTAAAATCATATTATGAATATTCGTATTTGTGACCTATACCTTAGTTACCTGCAGCTATTTATAAAACGGTATTATATAGTACGAAGAGTGACTACCACTACTTACAGAGTGAGTGTGTAGAATTCGTAGATACCGGTAGCTATCAAAGTTCGTTTTTTATGCTCTCCAGATATAGTAATAATAACTGAACGGGTGTTGAGTAGGTATTAAGTTCTTTTTATTGTTCTCGAGACATTTTGTGCGGGCGTGACTGATAGCGTTATAGAACGTCGGACAATATACCATGTAGATTAGTCCTATATAGCCGTGACCGAATAACAATCGTCTCCTTACCCACAACGAGGGTGACATGAAGATCGAGTTCACTTGGATATTGCTTTCCGAAACAGGTCACGGTTAAAAATATATACCCAGGTATACAGGTATAGTCTTCGGAGTGCGTGGTTAGGTACTACTTTATAGGAATGCACGTACCGGTTGGTTATGGACATATTTTAAGGTTGGTCCAATTCTTTTATTGGGGTATATTATTCTTTTTGAAGACACATTTACAATACGAAAAAAGAATACAAGATTATTATAAAATATATAAAACAAATCCTAGTATAAAACCAATTACCGGTTTGTATTCTTATCGAAGGGTGTATCGTGTGTGCTATACACTGTAACTGGATCATGAGTATATTTATATATACCTATATATATTGTAAGCACATAATATAAGAAAAAAACAACGCCTATACAAAATTGATTTGAACCGATACATTACACCCAGTCGGGCTAATAACTAATATAGTAATATAAGAATCAAATATGTAAAAAAACGAACATTATAAACAATGCCAGACGCTTCAAACAAAAGGCCATTATGATGTATGGAGCCAATGACCATAATATTCTGTTACAAATATTATAAGTCGCTGGACGCTGATAACCGTCGACCTTCCGAGTGGTCGCGACCCCCGTTGAGAAATGAGAAGTACATTACGTTATCGGTATCGAATCTACGGTTTAAAGGAATAAATAACAAAAACGCAGTTACATTGTGGTTTTTAACCATAGTATGACGCTTTATGAGAGACATTCAATTCGATCAAAAATCTATTAGTAGGTAATTATTATAAATTATAATAGTTTTATTTTGAACAAACCTTTAGGTATAGCCGTATTATACTTATAGGTACTTACCTATTTACCTGGCAGGTTTTGGTTGCCTACTAATGTTTTTATAGTACGTATACCTCGCATACTCGAATCCATAGTTTACAGTAATATATTATAAACGCACATATATAGTATAGGGATCTAGAGGATTAATTCTATAATCGTGTAGTTTAATCAATTGAATAAATAAAATAATTTTATAATCAGTTAAGTATTTAAGTAAAACCACATAATATAACCATGAATTTGATGAACAATGAAGTTTTTTTCAGCAAACATTTTTTCGAGGAGAAGGTTCATAGATACAAATCGGATGTAGGTACGACAGATGGACAGAATAATACTCAAGTATATTAAAGGACTTCACAAAATTAAATACCATATTTCCACATATTATTTTCTATGTAGCTTTAAGTATTAGAACTTGTGCACTAACCGTCTGACCTTCTAAAATAAATAATTATTATTTAAATATATCATGCAATTATTTATTTTACCATAATATGCTCAAGTTCATTGAACGTTTTTATACATAATAAAACAATTTTTTCCGCTGTTTATAGTTTTTTGTGTTTTTGAGTACTTACCCATAACAATGTAATATGTACAACGTATGCTATGTAATTTATACAAAATAAATAAATTGCAGTTCAAGCAGTTTGAATATGCAATATTCTATTCCTAAGAAATACCTCCGTAATTTTCAATTGTGTATATTATATTTGTACGCAAAATATAAAATAATATAAAGTCGTATAAAATATTGTACCTACTAAAAATTTAACTTATATTATGTACTAATGTGTTAAACATTTTTAGGAGATTATGAAATTCAACGTGATTGAAAAATTAATAAATTTGAATTGTTGTGTTTAATATTATCCATAATTTAAAATATAGCAATAGCTTTTTGGCCAAACACACACTATTTAATAAAATGATTATTAAAAGATAAATAAACGATTTGAAATAGAATATATTTTGTGAAACAATTTAATGAAAATCAATATAATTTTCTTTGTGTTGTGATAGATTCTATATTTCTATGTATATTTTTTCAAGAACACTAATATAATACACCTACCTACAGTCTATACAACTAGACATATAAATTATAAATACAACACTCATCGTTATTACACACCTATATAAAAAAATATGTTATTTATACCACAGTGTCTTTTCGATTTATATTATAAAATTAAGTTAAATTAAACAATACATAGTGCATGGCGCATGGCGATAGATCATTCATTTCAACGTAATATGTTAGGTGTAATATCGATACAGACCGCGCCTTTGTATGTATAAATTAGAGATGTGAGATGATGTACACGGCCGACAGCCCCCAGATAAATGCCGTGTATCTACTCGTGTTCCACTAGGCCAGGATATTTTCCAATTATTTTGAAGCTCTGATATACAATTTAAGGTGCAAAACAAAAGAATCCAATTTATGTGATGTTGTATTACGGTCTAAACAGATTTTAATATTGTCCAAATTCCCCGAGGCTTTATTTTATATGAAGCCCTAATTTTGTTTTCTATTGTACGATTAATATAATACATACCTACCTATACTGAACGTTACAGGTATTGTATACACGTCTACAGGGAACACGTGACAATATGGCGATGGAAAGTATGTAAAAAAAAAGAATACAATATAATATTCAAGATCGTTTCTGGGTGTCGTTATACCTAAGTATATTCAACACCTTTGATCAGTTTTCTAGATGTATATAATATATTATAAACTTCATAGATTTTTCATGGCTCTATACATATAGTGTATAAGAATTTCTAATAAAAACAGTTATGTACATATCTCATACATGTGTGTGTGTGTGTGTGTGTGTGTGTGTGTGTGTGTGTGGGTATCGGGTATAGTGGTGATTTTCAGTAAAAATGTTTCCTCAAATTCAGTGCATCTTAAATTTGAATTATTCTACAAAGTTAAGGGTTCATGCTTTTACTTTGCGATATTTACATTAGACACATACACAAGCAGATGTTTCAATTACGAAACTCAAATAACAAGTTTATACCTATAGTTCTTCAAATTGTATATGCATATTTATGTATTATGTATGCAGCATGTTATATTGTTATAAATAACCGATTAGTCATCTACATGCTACACTGCTACTGGAGTGTTCAAAAGTGTAGAAAAAATAGTATCTGGTACTTATAGGAATCATTAGATCACATTCCACAGTACACATGTCTATAGTCCAGAACACGAGGCAGTTATTACTGGCATATTGGCACATGCCAAATATTTTAAAATTATAACATACTATATATATAAAGTAAGTATACAAGAATCGAAAAAATGTATTATTTATAGTTTGACAAAAAATCAATTTTAAAATAGAAAAAACACATAGTACGATTAGTTACATTATAATATTATATTATTTTAATAAGCAATTTATACAATATTGTTTATTTTAATCTTTAATTATATTCTTAGGATCAATTATAAATATTCGTGATGCAGACGTTAAGTTGATATAATTCGATTAAGTTGCAATTATTAGCATTATATACCTATGATGGTTATTCATTTCAAAAGCCTATAACGTTTAGGTTTTTCACTTTTTCTCATACGCACTGCCATTAATATACAAAATAGCCAATAGGTATGCAATACTAATTGAAAACCCTATACTGGCTTTACTATTAAAAATGTCGAATAAATATCACCATCATTAGCAAGTGAAAAATGCGTGTTTAATACTGTTGATTAATTAGTATCTACATTATCGGTTGAGAATGCCAAAGAAGTTTAGTACCCATATTAATGTTCTGTGTTAATAGTGCATTAGTGTTAGTATGCGTGTATGAGTGACAGCACGGGAGACTGGGAGAGGAAAGGAGGCAATAGCGTATAGACGCACGATTGCAAAATAAAAAATTGCCTCGCCAAATCGATCACCGCGTTTATATCGTATCATATTTTAATAGATGGATCGTTATCATTATA